ACGCCACTCCAACGAAGTCGGTAAACAAGATCCTTTACGCCAGTTTCATCCCGCCCGCTGAGGAATTGTCACCTACTAGGCAGTCCTCGAGACTTTCTTCGGCAACGACAATCACCACCAGGGGTCCGCGGGCTAGTCGGACCGAGTTCACCGAGGCTAAGGCTGACACTGATTCCAACACTTCTTGCCAGAAGTCTTCTGATGGCGTCAATAACCTTCAGGCAGGCGCTCATCAGGAATCGTTGGCTCCAGTCGACAAGGGAAAGCAGCCACGACTTTCTCCCTCTTTGGTTATCGAGGATGGCTCACCTTGCCGTCATCTCTCCCCCTCTCCTCTCGTTGGACAACGATCTCCGCGCCCATCGACCGTCTCGGTCAGTGGCGCAGGTCGACAATTGCAATCTATGATGATCGACGAGGATAAGCCGGTTAAAGCTCTCCCCGTCAGGGTTTCGTCCGCCACTTTGCGTTACGCTTCGGTCCTCCCCGTTGCCGCTCCTATCTCTGCCGACATCGACGAAGACTACGACGGCCCAGAGGAGTGTAGTTTGAAGTTCACGACTATCAAAAACGTAGCGGATGCATTGAAAGCTTTGAAAAGGGCCGGCAACATCAAGGCATTTTATGGCGGCATGGATCAGGACGCTTCTTTATGGTTGCATAAGTTTGAGGTCACCCTGGCGCTTAACTTTATAGATCAGTCTATTTTCGTGCCGATGGTCTATCAATACCTTAAAGGTTCGGCCCTCACTGCACTGACGGATGTAGCAAAACGTGGGAAGCAACCTCTCACCATGAATGGTGTTCTCAACTTTCTCAAGGCCCACTTCCCCTCGACGGTCGACATCACAAGCATCGATAATCAGCATCAAGCCTTGAAGCAACGTTCCGGCCAGTCAGTTCTGGATTTCTGGACTGAATACCAGGATTTCATGATCGCAGCGGCTCACGTCGACTATCGTTACAACCCTACCGAGGATTTCGTCAAACGATTACATCATAAGAGTGCGGCTCAGGAACACGTCAAGGATGAAGTTTTACGTTATAAGAGAGTCGGGGTTGTACTTAAGGTTCACGAGGTTGCCCAGATCGCCATCAGCAAGGATAACGACATGGTCACCGATCGAGGTTTCAGCAATGGAAATCAATCCTCGAACTCAAGATTCCGTTCAAACGACAATCGTTCGAACAATTCGAACCGTCAAAACAACTTCAGACGCCGCGATCAGGTTCAGAACGTCTCAGATTCATCTAACAACCGCGGCAAGAAGCGCAAGTCAGACGAAAATCATCAACCTCGGCAAAGGTCTAGGAAGTTGGTGTCTGACGTTAATGGCAACACCGTTGACGGTCTTAAGTGCTACAACTGCAATCAGTTTGGTCATCGTTTCGGTACTATCGAAGCGAAGCTATGCCCGAATCCCACGTCGGATCAAACTAAGGAGTATTTTGATGGTAAACGGCAAGCCGGCTCGTCATCAAAAGATCAGGCGAAGAAGTAGCCGCTCTGCCTTCTTCGCCTTGTCTTGTTAGGTCATCATCTGTGTCTGTAGAAGCTACTGCTAATGTGTTAACTGCAATTAATAAAGCTTCCACCGATGTTGACTGTGAGCATTCCATAATGGCTGACGACGAATTCGTCCGTCCAAAATCTAAAAAGGTGGGTCTGAGTTTAAATTTCCCATCAGTACCCGTTGTACAGACCCTTGAAGGTGTACAATCTATCCTCGCCGCCAAAGACCCACGAGGGCGGTTGAGCAGTGATGAGCACGAGGTGCCATCAGGTCCTTCCCCGGACCCAGCCAGCCTAACAGGAAGCGTGAATGACGCATTCTTGCCGGCCAGCGAGCCCGTGATTCCGCTCCTTGGAGAAGTCAAACGTGATCAGTTTGATTCCTTGGCTGTGCTTGATAATGACTCGGCGGGTAATTGAGTCGACTTTTTTCTTTCCGTAAGAGAAGTCTCCGTTAAGATATTGATAGATACGGGAGCTCGCTCCTCGTATATCTCCAGTCGTATTGTAACAAAGTTGAAGTACACGACTTACAATAATAAGGCCGCTCCCACGGTGTATGGTGCGTGGGGCAAGCCTCAAGTTTGCAAAAGGCTTGTAGACTTTAAGTTTTCATTGTCTGGTTTGAACTTTTCTCAACCATGTCGTGTTGCCTCATTAGGGAACTACGATGTCATTTTGGGAATGGATTGGATCAACAATCACGCTCTAGTCACAGATTGGAGATCAGGTGAATGGACCCTTATGGGTCCCAATAAGCAGACTGCGCTTTTCGACCCTCGGTCAGTAAAAGCACCTAAGATTAAGAATCATTATCTTCACAACGTCACGGACCTTGCGGAAGAGGACAAGCCTCTGAGTCGAGGTGCTATGAGGCGTCTGTTGAGACGAAAAGATGCTGAGTGTTACCTCTTACATGAGCCACCTAGCATCTCGCAAGACGAATCCATCAGCACAATTTCCACAGATCAGGGGCCCAGGGAAGATGGACCCTCTGATCTGCCGTCCATACAGACCATTGACCCGGATCAAAGAAAAGTCTATTTGAAGATTATCGAGAAGTATTGAAGTCTTTTTGATCCAGTGGAGAAGGCTCCGTCGAAGGAGCGGGTGATTCAACACTTGATCGACACAGGTGAGGCTAATCCAGTTTACCAACCTGTCCGACGACTCTCCCCTTTACTCCTGGACGAGCTGCGAAATCGTTTGGAGACCCTTCAAAAGAACGGCTTCATCAGGCCTTCTACCTCCCCATGGTCTTCCCCCATCCTCTTCGCTCGAAACTCGTCCGGTAAACTTCGATTTTGCGTAGATTATAGGGCCGTTAATTCTATCACGAAACGGGATCGCCATCCTCTCCCACTTGTACAGGACTGCTTCGACCAACTTTACGGCGCCACACGTTTCTCCAAACTCGATCTTCAACAGGGTTTCCATCAGATGAGGATTTCATTGGATCACGTTCCGAAGACCGCTTTCAGTACACGCTATGGACACTACGAGTGGCTGGTGATGCCTTTCGGTTTGGTCAACGCGCCGTCAACTTTTCAACGGATGATGTCAGACATCTTGCGACCGTACCTGGACAAGTTTGTCCAGGTTTATATGGATGACATCTTAATTTATTCCCACAGTGACGAGGAGCATGCGAAGCATGTCGAAGTTGTTCTCCAAGCTCTGCAGGACGCAGAGCTTAAGGTAAGCGGCCCCAAGTCTCTTCTATGTGCGGAGGAAATCCAATTTGTTGGTCATCTCTTGTCTCATCAGGGTATTAAGCCGATGCCGGATAAGATTGAGGCTATTCAGAATTGGCCGCGACCGCTTGATGTACACGATGTACGTTCTTTCCTGGGGTTAGCCGGGTACTATCGGAGGTTTATCAGAGACTTTTCGAAAATAGCCTCCCCCCTTCACTCCCTCACTAGTGGGAACGTGACTAAGAAAGCCAAAATCGAATGGCTACCTATGCATGAGGTAGCCTTCGAGAAGCTCAAGGCGATGATGCTTTCGGCCCCAATCTTAATAACAGCTGATCCCAACAAGCCTTACATTCTAGAAACGGATGCGAGTGACTTCGCGGTGGGAGCTGTTCTCTTGCAAATTGGAGACGACGGTCTGGAGCATCCCGTCGCGTTCGAGTCCCACAAATTGAACTCGGCTCAGCAGAACTATCCCGCTCAGGAGAAAGAGTTGTATGCCATCATACACGCCTGGCGGAAATGGCGTAATTACTTAGAAGGAGCCGTCGCGGATACTGTAGTGAGAACAGATCACGCGACGCTCACAACCTTGTCTAAGCAAGTCCTCCCTTCCCGACGTATCAGTAGGTGGATCGAGGAGTTTGCAGAGATGACTATAAAAATTGAATACAAGAAGGGTTCTATGAACATCGTCCCAGATGCTCTTAGTCGCCGTCGCGACTATCATCTCAATATAATCGAGGACGTCTTGAAAGGACTACGTGACCCGTCAGACTGGCCGTTGCTCATCCCTTATGTGATATTGAAGCGGCCTATGCCGTCCTGGGTCACGCCGTCAACTTTAGAACAAGTTATGAAAGGATCGTCCTTGTTTCACTTCAATAAGAAGGAAGAAGTGCTTCTGTACCAGGGTAGTGGTTCATCTCAAGAGTCGAGCCCTTTTATCCCTTTCTATCAGAGGGCCGAGTTGATGGAAAAGTTCCACAACAAATACGGCCACAGAGGACGTGACGGCACCATCAGCCTCCTTAAAGGAAGGGGTTGGTGGCCGGGTAGGTATTCCGACGTGAAACAGTTTTGCAGTTTTTGCCCTACCTGTCAAATCTACGACGCTCCAGATAAAGATCAGGAGATCGCTAAGCAAGAACCCCTTCCCCTTGTCGAACCTTTCGAGCGATGGGCAATGGATTTTGTCTCTTTACCGGAAAGTGGCGATGGATTTAAGTGGATACTCACGTTAATCGATCACAGCACAGGCTGGCCGATCGCAGTACCGATGAAAACGGCTTCTTCAACTAACGTCGCTGAAGCGCTTTTGAAAGAAGTTATACAAGTCTATGGTGTCCCTTCGGAAATTCTAACTGATCGAGGTCAGAATTTCTTATCCAAAGAAATGAAGGCATTTTATCAAGGAGCGCACATCCATAAAATTAATACCTCTGGATACCATCCACGAACAAACGGGAAGAATGAGCGTTTCAATGGTATTTTGGAGAACGCCCTTTTTAAATCCAACACCACTAAGGATCCAGCTAGGTGGCCCGAATTCTTGGCAGAAGCTTTGTTTGCTTGCAGAGTTAATAAAAGTACGGTTACAGGTTACTCCCCTTTCGAGTTACTCTACGGAGTCAGCCCTCGTTTATTGGATGATCCTGCAAAATTAAGGCCTGTTGATCTCCCGGAATCCAGTTCCGATCAGTCGAAACGTTTGGAGAAGTTGAGAGCCAGCAGACAAGCTGCGGCTGAATCTTCCATTCAACGGTCGAATCAAAACAAGAGAAGATTTGACGCTCAGTTCGAAGCAGACGATAACAATAAGAGTATCTCGACTTTAAAATCCTACAAGATAGGCGACATGGTCAAGTTACGGAACGAGTCACATACAAAGGGAGAACCACATTGGTTCGGACCGTTCGAGATCTTCGCTGCTTTGGACAAAAACGTATACAAATTAATAGATCACAGGGAAACTCCATTCCCTCACCCTATCAGTGGGAACAGGTTGAAAACTGTCAACATCAACGAGTCTCAGTTAGGAGAGCCTTGGGCTTTGCCTCCGCGAATACTTCAAGAATTGAAGGCGGCGGATCTCAAAGTATCACGACTTGCTGCAAGGCAACTTAAAAGAATTTCAAAAGTTCAGAAATCTGTACTTCCACGTATCAAAATCATTGGCCGCTTCGCTACTGATGCTACGAGCTAGGGATCTCGCCTCATTTGGGAGGGAGGTGGTGTAGCAGGGCTACCAATTACGTGCCTGCTCCTTACCTTTTAGTCCAGACTAAAATCACTTAATACTTTAACTTAAGATCACCTCATCAAGACTGGTTTCATCTTTGGTATTATAGCACAAGCCACGGATTGTACTTGCCATCGTGGGCGTTGTGATGTTATCGGTTTCCTTTATTTTATCTCTGACTAGACTCCAGGGCTCGCCCTTTCTCAACTGTAATCGCCCTGTTCAATTAATCAGCCTTCTTTACTTCATTTCTCTTATATAACCATGTATTCTTCGGAAGACTTCTTGTTTCCTCAGAACTTATCTTTTTATAATCTCATCTTCAATCTTGATTCACTACTCTTAGCTTACTCTTAATTCATTACTATTAATAATCTCAATTATCCTTCGACGACAATTGTCTTCTCTTTCTAATTACTCTTTTAGCTCTTACAGCTTCTTTAACCTTCTCTATCTTATACCGTAATTCAAACCGCATCTGTCCTTTCGGACTCCTTGTCTTCTCATCTAATCCTCAGACCCTAATTGTCTCTAAGACTTATCTTCGTAAGCCATTAAATCTTAAGACTTAACAGTACCCTAAGACGGGCCCTGTTACATGCAGGCTTGAGTTACGTTTACAAAATTCATAGGAGGCCACATTGTCAATATAGCAGCTAGCTTAACACAACCTCCAGTGCCACCAAACCGCGGGAGCCTGATTCCCATCCTATACATGTGGCTTTGCAACCACTCAAAACCGCCCTTTGTAGTGATCATTTTATAGGATAAATTGCCTATGTTTAAAAAGATGATCTCATGTAAAATAAATACAATCTTTCATCCAACACCTCTCTCTTTCTCTCATCCAACCCCAACCCCAACCATGTTTTCCAACACCATTTTAATCTCTTCATAAAAAACCTCCAATTTTTTTTTTACAAAACTTTAATAAATAATATCTTCATATTCAAACAAACCAAAGTAAGATCCAAAAAGCAACCCAACAAAAGAAAAAAACCACACAGCGTTTCAAGACTTAATCATCTTTCCATCTTTGTTTAAGTTTAGAACGAAGTTTAATAAATTTATTTGGATTTGAAATTGAAGGAGTTAATTGAGGATTTGAAGCAATGGTATTTGGATTGTTAGATTGTGATGTTGATGTTGTAGAAGTAGAAGGAGGAGTAGAAGGAGTAGTAGTAGGAGAATGACGAGGTTTAAAGACCAACAATAAGATTGCAGCAAAGATTAAGATGATCAATAAGAAGATCAATTTACATTTCCCGGACCGATTCGAATGTCTAACCCCCCCACCAAGAAAAAAAAGTAATTCATCAATCGAAAAAATCCTCAAGATAATAAAAAGAAAAAGGGAAAAAATGAGATCAAGCTTAACTTATTAGCGATCTGAAGTTCATTAACAGCACCTTTCAAATTCCTCGACATCTCTTCCACATGATAATCAATCCTATCCAACATCGTACCTTGATCAATAACCAAAACACTTAAATCCTTAAACATTTCCGATAACTCTAAGATTGATTGACTAATGCCTTCGATTTCTCGATCTCTTTGTTGTAGATCAACCTGATTTGATTTAAAACTTCTTGTTTGTTGTTGTTGTTGTTGTTGTTGGGAAAAAGATGAATGAGATCTTGGTGAGGGTTGGTCATCTGTTATGTTGATTAATGCGTGGTTTGGATTTGATGTTTCGGTAGATTTCAAATCTGGATGATCATCAAAACCAAAACGAAAATTCAATTTTAGTATCAAACCATCTAGTTTCGGTTCATGTGTTTGGTTTGTTGAGGAGAAGCTTACGTTGAAGATAAACTCTTTGTCTTTTTTGAAACGTTTGACTCAATTCTTGAATCTTACTCATCAATCCAACTTGTACATTCTGAATAACCTTTTGATTTTCTTTAGTCTTAGCTTTAGCTTTAGGTTTCGAATTTGAATCATCTTGATTTTCTCCAATCTTACCAATCAAAACTTGTGATGTTCTAAATTGCTACCCCAAAGAAAACCAAATCATAAAATCATAAGAGTTTTGGGTTTTGGAAAGGATGATTGAATGGAATGACTTACTCTTGTGATTTGATGAGTAAGTTGATCGATTTCTTTTTCTTCATTTGATCGATCAGTAAAAGAAGGTAAGAGTTGTTTAGAAGTTAATTTCTCCAATTGATTCACTACACCAATCAAAAAGAAGTCATCATCATCATCATTCAATCTGAAAGTGATCATGATTTCGAGAGAATTCAGAAACTAACAATTAGTTTTGATTTGTTCAATTAATTCTTCTACTTCATCTGAATAATCTATCCTATGAATACCAAACACGATAATCAGCTACTAAAGAAAAGCAGAGTCAAAAATGAAAGAAAGATTACCATTTAGGAGGTAAAGGATCTGAATGAGATGAGTCCACTAATAATGGTTGATAATCATCATGATGTTGAGATTGATTGATTGAAGTATATTTAGGAGGATAAGTAGATTGGTTGATTGGAATGTTAGATCTTGTATCTCTGAATGAAAGGTAAAGTAAAGTTCTTGATCTAGTGATGATATTTTTGATGATGATGATGATTTGATGATGAACTTGAAGGATGATGATTGTTGTGATGATGATGATATTTTGATAGAGTTTGGTTTGATTGATAGTTCATTTAAGAAATCAGATTAGTCACTTGAGGATAGTTGAGGTGCTGGTTGGTTGAGAATGAGTTGAGATTGATTGAGAATGAAAGTGGTGGTGATATGTATGTAGAGTTACATGTTATAAGCATACTATCTCTATACTGAATATTCAACTCATCATTCACCAGTCGATCACTTTCACCATTCAGCCAACAACCAACAACCACCAACCACCAACCACCAACCACCAACAAGTCAAGTCAAGTCATTCAGAAATCAGGATAATCATCACAATAACAATATCTAGCATACAATGAAACTCAATCAACCAGATTAAACATTCATCAAACAAAATCAAATCAAACCAAACCAACCAAACCCTTATCCCCAAACTAGAAAGTCAAGAAAAAGAATGTTTGAACAAACTCTAAGTGGTCTAATCAAAGCCTTACGATCAAAAAAAGATCAAGAAACTCAAATCATAAACCAATCATTAAAAGAAATCCATCAAGAAATCAAATCGATTGATTTACCATTAAAATCAAATGCAATCTTAAAATTATCTTACTTAGATATGTTAGGTTATCATCAATTATTTAATTATTCTTTTAATGTGATCGAATGTATGTCTTCTAATCTGTTTGAGTATAAACAAATCGGTTATATGGCCGCGGCTCAATCTTTTGGTCCTCATACTGAAGTTTCAATGTTAACGACTAATTTAGTTAAAAAGGTTCATCCTTTCATCACGAACTGACATCGAAAAACTAAAACTGATCTTTGCTTTGGGTTTCTTTATAGGATCTCGTTTCTCATTCTTCTTCAAACCAAAGCAAATCATTCTTCAATCAACTCTCTTCCTCATCATCATCATCCACCCAAATCTCAAGCACGCCACCGATCCTTTCCATCACTTTAGCCGCCTTACCCCATTTACTAACCCCCCAAAACTACATAGACTTAGCCCCAGACCTGATCATTCTTCTAAACCACTCTAAACCGAGTATCAGAACCCGAGCGATCATCCTCATCAACACCTTGGCCAAATTAGATTTACAAAGAGTGACGGAAGAAGAATCGATTGAATTGAAGACCCGTCATCCTCAATTAGATCAACATATGACAGGATGGATCGAAAGATTAAGACCCAAGTTATTTGATGATGATTTCTCGGTGATCCAAGTGACAGTGAATGTGATGTGTGAATTAGTTTCGGTTTATCCTTGGCCTTGGCTTGAGATTGCAGCCGAGTTATATGATTTACTTGAATCGAGTGAAAATAATTGGATGAGAATTAAGATTGTCAAATTAGTAAGGACGTTTCTTAGAATCATCATTTTCTTTTTTGCATTCTTGGGTATTGTACTGACAATGATAACTTTGGGTTTCTTTTTAGTTTACAGCTCTGATGCCTATCGAGCCACGTCTAAAACGAAAACTGTTACCGATCCTAACATCAATTATTCATAAATCAACAGCCATGTCATTACTGAACGAATGTATTCATACAATCTTAGCAGGAGGACTAATTCAAGAAGACAAACTAGCTCAAAGTTGTATTGAAAAATTAATCGAGTTTTTGAATCATCCAGATCCCAATCTACGATATATTTCATTGATCGGATTAAAAAAGTTAATAGAATTTCATCCTTGTTTACTTCAAAGTCAATTAAATTTAATTTTGGATTTGGTAAATGATCCGGATCCTAGTTTAAGTTCAAAAGCTTTAGATTTAATTCAAGAAAGTCAATATGATTCGAATTCGAGTTTAGAAACTATTGAAAGTTTAATGGAACATTTAATTGAAGAAGAAGAACCTAAGTTAGACGCGATGAGTTCTTTACTGAACTTACAACAAACTTCACAACCACCAATAATTAAATTAAAAACCGATCAAGAAGTTTTGGACCATAAGATTCGTATTGCACAAATTATTTTGGGAATCGGATCTTATGAAACTTATTCGAATATAAACGATTTCGAATGGTTTATCGATATCTTAATTCAATTATCAATCTTGTTACCAAACACCTTCAAAACTAATTCTCAAATCAGGATTTCTGAAACTTTAATTGATCTTTGTAGTAGAGTGATAGGAATCAGACCTTACATCTTGAAAGAGATGTTAAAAGTTTTAAAATCAGATCAAGCTTTGGTATCTAATTCTATGATTCTTAGAGCGGCTATTTGGATCCTTGGTGAATATAGTTTTTCTCAAAGAGATTGTATTGATCAAAGAGAAGTGATTGGAACATTATTCAAGGAAGAATTCATGAACCTCGATACACCTGAGATCACTATTTTGGCTATTGAGAATGGAATGAAGGTGTTTTTTAGGTTGATTAAATCGTTTGGGAACCAGAATGATGGTTTAGAAGAGATTCATGAATTGATGGAAGCCATCTTGATTAGGTTTGATAGGTTAGTGTTGGGCTCTTTGGATGGAAATCAGTCGAATAAGTTAATGAAGATTGAGATGTGTGAGATGTTGGAAAGAGTTTTAGAGTTTAAAGGATTGATTGGGTTTCTTGGATCAAGATTACCTAAACCGATCCATCTTCCAAATCCAATCAAACATGAAGAAAACCAAGATGGAATTGAACCTAATCCGTTTAGAAATCAAGAAGAAGAAGAAGACCAAGAAAAAGAAGAAGAAGATTGGGAACTTGAAGAATTCGGTTTGTTTGATTTGTATGAATTAAGACCGGTTGCGAAACAGGCTCAAGGAATGGTGATGGCACCTGATGAATTAAAACTTGAGAGTTGGAAAACTTTTTTAAGATTTGATGATTGTCAAACTCAAACAGAACAAGAAGAAGAAGGGATTGATGAGTATGGTCGGAAGATTGGACGGTTGGGATTAGAAGATGTTGCTATTGAAGATGAAAGTAGGAAGAAAAAGAAGAAAAAGAAAAAAGGAATGAAAGGGAAAGATCTTAAGGTATATTAGTTTGACTTTTTTGACTTTTTTTGGATTATTTGAATTTGATATTTTGTTTCTGTTGGGTATATAGGAAAGTCAATTTAAAACACAAGACTTTTTAAAGAACCAAGGAGATCCTTATTATCTTGATGAAAAAGATGAAGAAGAAGAAGAAATCAATGTAGATGAAATCCCGATTGTAAAACTTGATTTATCTGAACTTGGATTAAACCCAATTGGAGGAACATCAAACCCCATAAACAAAACCGAAAAAGAAAGCGAAAAGAAAAAGAAGCTTAAAATTAAAAACCCAACGGCTTCAAAGAGTACAGGCCCTATTCTTGTAGATAGAGTAGGAGAAATGCCAGATTTAAGTTATTTAATTAAACCTGAAGTTGAACCAAACTTAAGTTCACAAGAAAATCAAGTAGAGGAAGGAAATGGTAACAAAGAAGTAGGATTAGTTAGAGGAAAAGAAAAAGGGAAACATAATGGTGAGGAAGAAGGTAAGGAGAAAAAGATGGTGAAGGCTAAAGTGGTGGTAAAGAAATCGAAAAAGAAATTAAGTAAAATTAAAAAAGATGAAGTTGGATAGAAAACCAACATCAAGAAACCAAAATCAAAATCAAAATCAAAATCATCAATTTTTTGGGGGGTTGGTAGGTCACATAGAGCATTGTTTTTTTATAAAAAAAAGTTTCTTGAAAGTGTAGATAAGTTTTTTTTTGGTAATTTGGATGTATATCACTTTTTGAATGATGATGATGGTATTATAATTTAATTTAATATTTGAAGTTTCTTTGATGATGATTTGAAGTACAAAGGTTTAGAAAGGGTTTTATTTCGTGAAAAAATGTAAGGTCACTAAAAAGAATTAAGAACTTTGACACTTTTTAGGGGGAACAATGAGAGTACAAGGAAGATCATGTTGAAGTTATCAGTTCACACTCTAAGCTTACACTGCAAGAATTAAGATGTTCAAAACCCGATTGAAGAAAGTTGTGGTGAGCGGGCAAGTTTTGTGAATAGCTGTACATCTATTTGGCTTTTCTTATTTAATCTTGATTGGTTTGAAGACTTAAGAATTTGTTTAATTTTAGCAACAAGATGAGCTTGAGCTTGTACCAGACTTTAGGTCTATAACTCATGAACTGATTCTGAATACTCAACTGAGACACTGTGCTCAATTTAGACTGCTCATCCAAGATAAAGATGAGCATTCTCCAGCAATGTACCAAAATTTGATCAAAACAGCCTAGTTGCCTGAGCACTATGTACATACCATAATTGTCAATTGAAGGAATCTGAAAGGAAAACAATCTTTTTTTGGAGAATTCAGGAAAGTGTACAATGCTCACCTTTATGTGCACAGTGAGCATCAATTTTGACCCCTGTGAATGATTTGAAAGTGATATTTGTGGCAGCTTGAGCTATGATTGATCTGAAGAGATGATGAAGTCAAATTCAATTGTAGATCAAGCTGGCTGATATTTGGAGTGATGACTAAAGAGCCCGGGGCAGCAGACAGTGCTTGGGATTTGATCTGTGGGGCTTTTGGGGTGGTTTTCAAGTGTGAATTGTTGCATTTTGTAAGAATAGAATGGAAGTGAAAACTTAAACTGCAACACACACATCTTTTGGGGGGTTTGGACCACAGATCTGTGGTGTTTTAAGGTCCAAAAAATACATCAAATCTGAAGTACTGGTTGTTTCCTGGGTTCCAGTGCAGCAAAATGCCACAACACTTGCTGTGTTATGGGGTCAAAAACCCTCATTGGCACACACTTTGATGTGCAACCCTTGCATTGCTGGCCCAGAATTGACTGCATTTACAGGATACAAAGTTGAAGCTGGGCACGTGCCCGGCTTTGTGCCCAGATTTTTTTGGCAGTAAATTCAAATTCTGAGCCCAGACTTTTGCCCAGAAAATCAAAATTTACTGCCAAAATAATTCCGGGCACGTGCCCGGATTCTACTTTGTATCCTGCAATTGTCAATGATCCATAGATATAATTTCATCTCAGGACTCTTTGAGCCGCATGTACATTTATTGTTATGGTAGAGAATCTTCCATTACCCCTTGGAAAGTACAAAGCTCATGTAAGTTAAACAAACATATTCAAAAATCAAGTTGATATATTATCATCACTTACTCTGGAATGTATCTCAACAGTTTGTCTTGTCCAGGATCCAAAGAAAGAATGGCTACAAAAGGAAACTATCTGTAAGATGGATGTAAAACAAGGTAAAGTGAATACAAAAGACAAGCACTCATCAATGTGTTCCTTACAAAGGTCACAGAGAAGATGAGAGTGCATTGTAGCTTCTTACCACTGTGCTTTTTAATGCTGACCTGGGGAAAGAGTGCAGAGCAACAAGAGGGAATCGGGCACTCAAAGGGGGGGATAGTGTTATAACTTGCTATGTTGTGATGCTTTTACGTAGGGATGCTTGTAGCGGAGAGTTGTACCTTTTTATCCACTCCTGCTGCACACACTTGTACCCCTTTCTCTCATACTGCAAGTCCACTGTGAGACTGGTTCACAACATGTGTAGATGCTAACTATGGTCCTTGGTAGGATATTGGCTATTGCGGAATTTGATACATGAGTTCTAAGTGTGAGTTTTTGCCCCAAAATTCCCCTAGAACCAATCTGAGAGTCAACTTGTGGACATTGTTCTGCTGGTCCTGAAGTGATGAATAGGAAAGAAGGGTGTCCTGCACCTAGCCCTTGTTTGAGGGCAACTGTAATGAGCCTAGTACTGAGATTAGATGCTTATACTGTAACTCACGTTGTACTTGCTCACGGGAGAAGTCCATACTGGACTTCTCCCTCACGTTGCAATCTTATTATCAAGTAGCCTGTACCTTGCTTAGTTCCTCATCACGGTCATAACAGCAACCTTGGAGCCAAAGACATCATGTTGATCCAAGGAAAGTAGTTTGGCAATGGCAGAAAAGAGGACCCCAGAATGCCCCTATAAAGGGTAGTGATCTGAAAAATTTCTAAATGGCTAAGTCTGTTCCTGGCTTTGCCCATACCTTCCAGAGGGTCTTGAGTTTTCCTTGGACTTTCTTGAGACTGTCTAAGGCTGGCATGGATCACAAAAACCAGTGATAACAGAAGGCCGAGATGGGCAGAATCAAAGCAAGCTGCGTATAATCCCATGATTTTTAACTCCGTGGAAGTCCAAAAGGGACTTCTTTAGATCACTACCCTTTATAGGGGCATTCCGGGGTCCTCAGAAAAGGTCATTCAAGGCAAAAAAGGCTTCCACAAAAACCCACACCCATGCCATTACACTAATCTGAGAGTTATACAATTTTTCAGGAAATTATGACAACCCAATTGCCGCTGGGCTTACTTCATTCCGTTGTCATTAGACATCATTATCTTTTGCCTTGTGTTCACAACAGCAGACAATTCAAGGTCTGAGGGGTAAATAGCATTTCAGCATCTACTTGTGAAGCCAGACAAGAAAAAATCATATGAGCAGCTCCGATAGGCCTTCCAAATCTGCATAAGAAGAAAGGGGGTCCGCTAATATCGATGTGACTGCGCGGACTTGTGCTGAATATGACGTCACATGTCACAAGGTGCTTTGTCCGAGTGGTTAAGGAGACGCCCTGCTAAGGCGTTGGGTTCTGCCCGCGCGAGTTCGAATCTCGTAGGCATCGAATAACTTTTGCCACTCGCGGCGTTCACGATTTTGGTGGCAAAGCCTCCTCCTCCAGCCTTCAGGGGCTTCCAGGATGCCTCGAGTCCTTGCCATCGGCGTTTTCGTATACGAGTTGCAGGACAGTGGATGGGTAACGGATTGGCCAGACCAATTCATTGAAGATTGAGGCGTGGGGTTAGAAATAGGCGAAAGTTTTCACAAAGGTAAACGATTGCAGAACAAAAGTGGAAGCTGGGGACCACTCCGCTCGAGGAGCATCTTTATATGCTATCTGATTTTTTTCTTGAACATGCACAATATAAAACAGTCGAAATTACAGGACATGCCAAACCCTGCATTCTCTTGATTCAGATGCTGACGTTGTGTCCCAGTGATTCTGATAGGGTCTTGATGACGCTTTTGTGCGATGTTACAAGATTCTTGATCACATTCAAATGATCGATTGCAATTAAATGAGCACAGCCTATCACAATATTCTATGTAAGCATTAGTAGATACATTACAACTTCTCAACGTCACACTTGTATGTTTCATACTAATATAGCACACTGTCCGTTTGCGAAAAGAAAAAAATCACCCCCAAAGATTATAATCAAGATTCTGAGTTCATCCTTAATCTTTTATCACGTTTTCGCTTCCAAATCGCTTTCAACACCGCCTTCATCTGTTGCTCTCCACTGCGGAAATTCATCTAAATTTAGAAACAAGCAGTTTAGCCTATGTGTATCGGAACAAAAACAAGGAATTATAAGCCTAGTCTTACTTCTGATAATTTCAATAGCTGTTCGGTTTCTTCTTCTTTGTAATCGAAGCGCCAAGTGGACCACACCTTTGCCGGATCGTCTAGTCCATTTCCAGGAGCGAGCTGGCAGATACGATCATCGATATGACAGATTGTTGTAGTGAGTATGTGATTCATGGGCCATCACGTTCCAAAAAGTAAACACTCACAGGAATATAGATCAAAGCAGGCCCATCGCGTGATCGGATCATCTCCTCATTAGGCTCGTCCATTCGTGCAGATATTTCTTTGTTGGAAGAGTCTCCTACCCATATATTACATCGACCAAGAGGCGGTTCGGGATTTGCGCTGTCAGGGGCACCTTTGGTTTCTGCTGGAAATGGATTGGCTTCGTCCCCATCGGAAGACTTTTGGTCTTCATTTTCCAATTGACTAAAAGCTTGTACACGAGACTTCTTGACAGCTACTTCGCTCTTGTCCAATGGAATCTCAGCATCATGATCGGCATGCTCGGTGGCTGGTGCGGATTCCGATGAGCCCGGGTATTTGACGATTGGCCACGTGTCTAGCCCACATCTTTGCGCATATGTTTCAGCTTTGGAAAACCAAACATCCTAGGGAGGCAATGGTTTCAATGAGTTCGATATGTGACTCGACACATTGCAGCTTAAATGAAGTGATCCCATACCTGTGAATCTGCACTCGCGTCCAAAGAGATGATCACGTCGCATCCTCGTCGATAAAGAGGTACATAGGGTATGTTAAGATCCGCTCCCGCATCCATAAACCCCAGAGTTTCTCGTTCGGTCACAGCCGCAGAGATTCCAGGCTTAAGCTGACCATTTAACCCACGAAGAAAGTTGGGCAATTCAGCAGGTGGAAATGGATGAAGCACACTTAGATCCGATTCAAAAGTTGCTAACAACCAGACCAAAACGGACATCCACGCCAATCAGACCCTCTGAGTTGGCTCTAAACCGATCTGAACATCAAGAGGGGTAAGACATACACACGTATGCATCAAAAGCTTTGAAGAATGGTAACATGACGAGACCGGGCTTGACTTCTTGATAATAGTGAGCGAGGGTGGCGGTGAAAGCCGAAGCAAAGATCCCGCTCAGAATCGAAAGGCTTATCTCGGGGCGAGCCTTGACGTCACGACCGTTTTCGAACGCGCGTCCTAGCGCCCAGGTAGGAATGAAAGCACCGACATCCTGTGAGCCTACTTCATACGGAGTCATCTCATACCACTGACATAAACGAAGATCTGATTAGAGTTGTACATCTTGCCATCATATGTTCGGTAGCAACTTACGTGGTACGAAGGTGATATGAATGATTGGTCACGAGCGACTTTTTCCGAAGAGCTCCCAGCATTGTCTGAATCATTTGTACGCTGAATTTGGTCTGGAACTTGATGATATATTGCACAGTATATAGGCAAGGGCAAAGAGCCATCAAGTAGGTGGCGCTGATTCGAAAGTTTTAGATGATGTGGGTCCAAACGCGAGAGATCGTTGGGTACATATAAGCGGGATGAGACCAATGTGCCGTATACATCCACCAATGACGTGGTACCACCTTTACTGGCAAGTTTGGCGACTGGGCCTGCGAGAAGATACTAGACAGTGACAAAGTCATGATCAATTATCAAAGCGCAAAGTAGGAAAACTACAAGTTTTTCGGGCTGACTTTATTGGTAGGCGCGTCCGTAAAAAGTTGAAAGTTTTCTAAATCCAAAAATGGTGTGGTGATACGACTCTTGATATGATTGCTCAAGTCGAGAAGATTGCCACCGGCTACACTATACCAGCCTGCGAGAGCCCAACAGCTTCCAGAGATTCCCGAAATATAACTGACTACGTCCAAAATGCCTGATTGGCGGGCACCAAGCAAGCAGCCTGTGGTCGAAGTCATCGCACGATAACCTTTCAAACATAGATCCCTGTTCAATATTCTGGGTAGATTTGACAATGAGTTTCAGTAAGATTGTCTCTTACCACCTCCAGATGCGGCGATTCCAACAACAGGAATATCGCGTTCATCAATTTCGCGCTCATCTACATCTATCAACGAAGCAAGTGCCCGTCTCATAAAATGTTTACGTTCTCTCATAAAACCTTTCTCGCAAAATCCAATATCCGATCCAATTCTAACTGAAGCTCTCCAAGATAACTCTGGATTAAGTTTTTGATCATTGATAGATTCTTCCACAATTTCTTGAAAAAGTGAATTAGGATCTCCCGAAAGTTCCGAAGAGATTTGAGATAATCGAGATGAAAGTGAAGTGAATTGTGTTTTCATTGAATCGATTGATAACCAATCTTGAATTGTAGAACCATAAGAGGAATCTTTCTTCTCTTCACAGTTGGATTTCGTCGCGTATCTTGATCTAGAGATACCGATGGCTCCAACTAGCAACCCCGCCATCAAGCCTGATGTGAGTGGTTTAGGCCTAGCCAAAAAGCGAGACATGAGACCATATGCAATTGTTCTGTCAAGACTGAATGAGGTTTGAATGTAATTAGATTGATCGATCTCATTCGATTGATCATGGAACTCATCGCCACCTCGTCATCAAGGGTGAAGTCCGATCAGGCCCCGTCTCCTCAATAAGTAGCCGGTACAGCTACGGCAACAATGCAAGTACCGGTTCGCAAATGAACTGGAGCTCGAATCACTGCATTTGTAGGATAAGTTCGAGAGAATCGTCGCGAATGCTAAACATCCCCGACTAACACACAATCCCTGGACTTCTTACCTTCCACCTTAGATTGGGGATGAGTATGTGAACCATATTGTCACTGTATCTCTTTAGTTGTTTGTAAAAAAAAAGATAATTGTGTAAAGATTAGACCCTCTTTCCTGGTGTACTAGTCACCTTCAAACTACTGTTCAGATAGTGTAATATGCAATCCAGCAACTTCGCGCTTTGAAAAAAAAATGAAAAAATGATGAGGGGTTTTGTGATCCTGCAAGTTTTGAAGGCCATTCTGGTATTGTCACTGGAAAGTGTAAGGCTATCTACTGAGCTCAAAATCCTACACCCATATCTTTTGTTACAAAACCTTGAAGCCTGACCAAGTCACATCGCTCTGATTGATCAGCCAGTCTATCAATAAGGCAAGTCCATGAGCTACGTAATTTGGCTTGATTGAGGCAAATTGAATAAACCAACTTCTCCCATGTATGCAAGAGATGGTTAACTTGCAGATTTCTGCGTGCTTTCCTCAAGTCCTGGCCCTGGAAAGAAACTTTTAACCCGCAATGAGCTAAAAATAAAATCTACCTGCCAATGCCACAAATGCAAGCCGGATGCACAACAAACCCATTTCTCAATCAAGCGCCTCACACTTCAAAAGGATTGTCTGGTCATCAAAACAATTCATGCTCCCCGTAGTCTCAAGACCCCCAATTATAAACGTATCAAACAGCAGTCATTCCAAAGTAATCCTTTCACTGCTACTAACACTGGGATGCTCGGCGTCAATACAACTTAATGATCTTCATTATCATACAGTATTAAATTATCAGTGATGACCAGCTTTCCAGAGCCAATATATCATGATCCGTGCACAAAATATACAAAAGGAAATTGAAAATGAACGAGAGTATCGTGTTGCAGAATCCAATCACATTCTCTGTACTCCTTCTACCGCAAGCTCAGCGGGACTGGTTTGGTTCTGTTGCGTATATGTGTGAGGAGTGAGAGGATTCAGGATCAAGTATTTAATGAAAACGTGTTGGAGTTGTAGAGAAACTTACGTTTGCAACGTTCGCTGCTGCATCAATTGCTGCAGTTCCGGTAAGACCTATAAATTTTTCAAAGTAAGAGATGTGTGATAAGTATATGATCTTTAAGGTACTATACGAAGACTAAATACCTGCTATCGCGGCCGCACTTGGGGCAGCATTAGCCGAAGGTGCCTAGATCAACATAAGCAAGAAATACAAAGTTAGTACGTTTTTGAAGCCCTCGAGATTATATGAATACGAAAATCCTTTACAGCGGCAAGTGTTGCGTTTGCAGCAACTTTTGCAACTTTAGCGTTAGCTTTAGCTTTCGCTTTAGCCTTGGCCTTGGCTTCCTTGGCTTCCTTGCCTAATTTTCCTTTGCGTCTTTCCAAATGAGAAGGGTTCGAAAGATGAGATCCAACTAGGTTTGTTCTCTTTTCAAAGTCTGGTGAAAAATGTGATAAACAAAGTCATTTCTTTAATCTATCACTTCTATATGAAGAGCAAAAGCAATCACAACTTACCTTTTTGCTCCGATGAATCTCGACGCACGGGAGCCGCCTAGAATAGTTGAAAGATCGGGAGATGAGTTAAATGAATTTATTAAAGATGGAGTTGACTCAAAAACTCACAGCAGAAGCCTTGGCTGCTTTGGCTGCTTTGACAGCTGCGATAATGTTTGCAAATTTAGCTTTGAACTTTGCACCAGCTCCCTTGGCGAACAATGGGTCGCGTGTCTCTAATCTAGAAGGCCTTGATCGAGATCTAGATAGCTTTGTTCTCTTTTCAAATTCTGGTAAAACAAACTTAACTCGTCAATCTATCACTTCTATATCAAGAGCAAAAGCTATCACAAATTACCTTTTTGCTCCGGTAAATCTCGACGGGCGGGAGCCGCCTAGAATAGTTAAAAGATCGGGAGATGAGTTAAATGAATTGATTGAAGATGAAGATGAATCAAAAACTCACAGCATCAGCTTTGGCTGCTTTGACAGCAGCGATAATGTTTGCAAATTTAGCTTTGAACTTTGCACCAGCTCCCTTGGCGAACAATGGGTCGCGTGTGTCTAATCGAGAGCTTCTCGATCGGGTTCTCTTTTCAAACCCTGGTAATTCGTGGGGTAATCAAAATCATTTCGTCAATTTATCACTTCAATTTCAAGGTCTTTTAAAAAAATATTAGGATTTACCTTTCGGCTCTGGTAAACTTCGACGTGCGGGAATCGCCTAGGAGAGTTTAGAGATGAAGAGATAAATAAGTCCATTGAAGTTTCAAAAGACGAGGATTGATCAGGAATTCACTTGGTTTTCAGCTTCCCGTCGCGAGACGTCCACATGACGAAATCTTTCTAGTCTCTTTTCTAAATTCGAGAGAAATTCAAAGCAGGTTTCAGAGGAGGTAGGTCATCTTTTCTTACAAAAACGCAATTGATGACTCACCAATCTTGTCTTCCCCCCAGAACTCCGGACCGCGCTATCCAGGAAATATGATGCAATACGAAAACCCTTCAACAAAAATCAAAAACATACTTTCAAAGACTGATAGCTCACCTTCTCTAAAGCAACTGCACCAGCCTTGAGATCGTTTTGAGTCTCCAACGTGGAGCGCGGCTCCAAGTCTGCATTAACGTATAATAAACCATAGGTAAGAAAAGCCGTCAAAAAAGTGATGGAAAACTGCATTCTAAGTGAGGAGAAATGAGGAAAGAAAAGTAGTTCATTGATCAGCTCCTCCAACATCAAACACAAAAGATCTAAGGCTTATATGATAATATAGGAATCAAAGTGCTCACTTGATGAATGAAATTGTTAATAAAGATTGTAAGGCTCAGCCTGATAAAAGATCTTCAAATCAAAGATTGACGAGAAAAAGATGTAAGAATTAATATTATGAAATATATTATTTTGAATTGATGGGAAAGGGATTGTAGGAATCAAATCCCGGCCAATTCATCTCTCTTATATACTGGTTATTGAATAATACGGTTTTTTTCGCGTTCACCAAAACAAGTTCGGACGATTTGGGTCATATGAGGATTCTGATTTTCCATCAATCGTGAGGGTGAATCGAAGGAGAACAAGACGTTGATTTGCTACCACCACTCATCAACCCGTCAATGATGATCCCGTTCGGTTTGACAGCATAGTTCCCTGAAGTAATCCTTGATGGTTTCATGAAAGTAGGGCAATTGGTTCATCATCAACCATCCAAGTCAGTTTGAGGATGAGAACTCTCAATCGAATCTTGCCATCGCGCATAATCAGTCGCGGTTCCACTTCACTGTCCATTAGAGTATGAGCAACCCAAACGAAGGCAATGAAACGAGTTGGATCTGTCATCAAATCGTCATAGGTCAGCTTCCATATCATGAACATATTTGCCCTCCAGCTATGTGATGAGCTGTTATGGTAAATCACTTACAAACGTCGAAGGGCCACACGGGGTGATCAACTGGTGCAACTGATTATATTTCGAGTGTCTTGACTCTTATGCGTTGTAAAAGACCCCCAACGCAAGTTCCAAATGATCAAATTAAAAGCCATTTTGAAAGTGAAGCACGCTAGAGAAATTCATTCGGACTCGTGTTTTGATCCTAAAATTCATAAGAGTCTTTGCATTTATCATACTATACTAGAAAGATACAAAAAATATATTCCAGTATCAGCAACATCATTCAAGTTGCGCTACGTCTAATGTTCTCAACATCAAGACGAGGCCTGAAAGCATGCTAAACTAAACAGCTAAAACTTGGGCTCTTCAAAAGTTGAACCTAGGAAGAACTAGCTTAGGGTCAGACTAGCTTGCGATAAATCTGGAGTCAAAGAAAATGAAATAAGAAATCCGGTTGGAGAGAGAATCGAGTGAATCCAAGACCCTGTAATATAAAAGGTGAAGGAATCTAAATCCAGTTACCCCATTGCTTAAATCGTTCAGATGGGGGGCAAGATGAGTTGAAGGACTGTTCTCTGATCAGATATGGGGTTTGCCAATTGAGGAAGACTTCTGAAGTTCTGATGAGATGTGATTGAGATGTTACAAGGGTGTCCCGAGGGTGTTGTAGTTGACTGATTTGAATACTTGGCCGAGATTTTGACTTTCTATCTTTCTTTCAGCATTTCAAAGACTCTTTAAACCACTTCATGTCAGTGAACCAAAGTGACAGCGGAAGCGAAATCGAAATCATCACTCCAAGTAAACCTCAAGTTCGAACATCACCAGAAACAAAGCGACAGATGAATCCACCACGACGCTCCTCTCGTTTGAGTACACCTCGCTTATCAGTCACTCCAGCGGCTTCTCCAAGCCCTTTGAACAAGGAAACCGAGAGTCCTAGGGTGACTCCTCGTACTACCCGTACATCTACTAAGGCGGCAGTACGGCCACCTTCCTCGAACAGCAGTTTGAAAAGTACATCTAGCTCAACTAGAGGTTCGAAAAAGTCAATACCAGCATCTCGTCCATCTTCTAAACTGAATGCTGCTCCACCCGATAAACGTGTCTCATCTTTAAGGCAATCTAAAAGGCGTAAAACTTTGGGAACTCCTATCGATCAATCCGAGGAGACGGACACGATTAATTCTCAATCCACTTCATCTACAACTGCTCCCGATGAATCGACTATACCTTCCGGATCACAAGAAATTCCACCTTTGAAAATATCACAGGAATCTCACCCTTCGCCAAATATCTTGGAGGCTTCGGAACCGCAAGATCGCTCAGCTATGTCAGAGCCTCAACCAGCTGACGTCTCTGTCACAGACCCCCAAGAAGCCACCGAAATTGCAAATCCGCTTGAAGAACTTGCTATACCAATGCACTCCAGCTGTAAACACACTCCGGAACCCGATCCACCCAGATCTCGTTCAACGAGCATCGAAATTCTTGACTCAAAGAAATCACAATCGGACCTAACTCCGCATGAAGCAGAGTCGGTTCCCTTTCCAGCTTTGGAACCACTACCCAATGCTCAACTCGCGACCTCCCCAGTAGCCACACCAATCGAACCAGCAACGTTATCAGCAACATCGACAGAACCCGCCCCGGTATCAGCAACAGCCACTGAACCCCCACCGATATCAACGTCTATCCAACCCGCACCGATAACGGCAACATTGGACGAACCCGCGCCAGTTTCAGGTTCCACGATCGCACTAGGCCATGTGGATCAGGATCGCGCCGACAAAGTTACTGAAGGTGATAAACTAAATCTACATGGTCGTTCATATGAACTTTTCAAACTAACCCTCTCTCCTTGATCTATAATACTATCCAGATCCCATGGCAAACAAAAACAGACAGACAAGTCCCAAAATTATGGCTGAAGCGTCACAGGATCAGATACCAGCAGTTCGTGCACCAGCAGCGGGAGGTAGTAAGCCACCTCCGCGTAGACGTGCTCCAAGAGCTATCCGAGCCCAGAAACCTTTAAATCAAGACGACGACGATGATGATGGCAAGTCTATTCATCTCTAACAATATGTGTTTGATTTTTCGACTCGCATTGCTAATTGATTTCATTCTGATATGACGTTATCATTATATTTTTTCATGGATTGATGGTGACTTCTTTGAATTTAAACTTGAAATTCGTGTAGATTTTTGTAATCTATCATCACGGAACCCAGTACAATTTGTTTCCAAAACTCTTGGTCTTACAGCTGGTGATCGTCGATCTGGTAAGCCTATCTCTACCGAACGATTTCAAGTGGATCCGGCTTCCCAAGCTGATTTCAATAAACATATCAATATTAGCTTCAGCTGTTGCGCCTTCGTCTGGTGTACCTGAGAATCATTCACCAGAAAGGTCTACAAATGTAATTTATTTGAGTGATGAAGATAGTGATAAGGCTGGAACTTCAAGTTCTTCTTCAGATGGTCATACTCGAAGAAAAAAAAGGAAATCTCCAAGTGTAAAGTTACCGGATTGGACTATGAACAAAGTGCTAGACAGGTAAAATGCTCATGCTTTCCCCTGATGCCAATGTAGTCTTGATACTGGACTGATAGTGATCGATCATCTTGGGTTGCTATTTGATATCGATTGTCTATATAGTTCTTCTTCAGATGAAGAACTATTTAAGAAGAAGAAGAAGGGAAAAGCTAGAGCATCAAGTTTGAGCTCGGACGATTCAAATGATTCCGACCAACCCGAACCATCAAAGCCCACCCTAGCGAAATCAGTTCAAGAGAAACGTGCCGTAAGAGCACCCACACCGCCACCAACGATGAATCCGCATCTCATGAGCCTGAACCTGCACACTCTACGCTGCCAGTTGGCTGTACGTTCAAGCTCTTCAGCTGCTCACTCTATACTACAAGCCCAAGATGATCCTACAGAAGCATATGGCACATTAGATGATCTTGATGAAAGTTCTCTTGATCCAGCATTGGCCCAAGTGAGAAGACAAGTAATGACTGCAAACAAAGGAACTCCTCAAGCCAAACATCATGAGCCCGGAACTCAATTACAATGGTCAGGTCATGATATTCAATTGAGTGTGGGGATGGTTTTCGATCCTAGAAAGATTGCTACAAGTGATCCCACGGAGATTGAAATGTATGAGGAAGTCTTTGATATCTCAATCAGCACGGTAAGTTCAAATGACTTGTCTCGTAACATTTCTCATCCATACCCAATCCGAGATTTAATTCCAATCTATACGCTGCATGACCGAATTTGATCTAATTTCAATCTTTGCTCTGATCTCTATTGAAACTTTGAAGCGAGAACCATTTTCAAAGGTCTACGAACATCTATATGCGATGAATCCACAGTTTCCACCAGATTCAATCATCTTAGCACGTGACAATATCAAATTATCACCATGGGTAACTCCTCATTCGGTTGATATGATGACAGATACCGCTCTCAGTAAGTTTTGATATGTTCTCATGGTTTTTGTATCTCTGTTTTTCAGTACTGCATACCAACTGACTTTTTTTGTCATTCTCCTGACGTATCTGACAGAGGCTTATGAGACTGATGTATGGCAATTCATCAAGACTAATCCTGTTCGATCCAACCGGCGTGATGATGACCACACCAACAACGATGAACCTACGACTAGTGATAGCATTGAAGACCGGCAACCAGAAGCCCATACTAGCGCGAATCCTTCTGTAAACTCTAACAACAAAAAAGACGAAATAGGTAGTAATCATATCAAGCTAACAGTACGTAATGGGAATAAGAACGGCTTAGAGATGATAGTCAAACCTACAACGACTGCTAGTTCAATCATACGACAATTTTTAAAAGAAATGGCAGATGGAAAGATCACAGAAGATGAAATTAAATCTCAATTAGAAAAATGTAAACTTGAATTTGATGGTGAAACATTAGAATTGACTACTAAAGTTCAAGATACTGATATTGAAGATGGTGAAGTACTTGATTTAGTCTTTACTTAGGTAAAAAAAACCTCTTTTTGGATCTTGATCATATTGGGACTTTGGTTATATATATATTAGAATTATAGTCTCATGATCTAATTTGTGTTTTTCATTTGAGATGTGTTGTAATACAATGATTTCAAAGTATACATACAGTTATTCTTGATTGTTACATTTTTTTATGAATCATTTATTTCTCTCAAGTTTGTTTTTGTTATTATTTTGGGTTTTATATCTTGTGGGTTATCATCATAATAGGTTTGATATTAGATCTGGATTTGATACAAAAGGAATCAAGAAAAAATGGTTGTACTGCATGAATTGATGCATGTGAGCTTATGAATACCATACTTGATATTTCACCGCCAAACAACTTTCCCTCACTACTTTGCACTTCATCCATACCAATTGATAATATTATATCCTCAAGTATATTTCTCCTTCAATAATGCTGTTCCTATGTACTGGGTTATGGGTATGTCAAAATTGAATGGACAACTGATTCTGATTCCGAATACCAAATCAATAGCTTATTACTTGCCAAGTGAATTCTTAGACCCGTGAGTATGAAAGGTAAATTCATATTCACTACTACATAATCTGTTTGATAGAATGGCTGATGGATATCCTTATTGTTGCAGAATGACAGGGCAGCGCACCAATAACTCATTCTTTCAGACCGGTTTTGTTGGTAATTCTAAGTGCAAAGTTGATATAATTTCATCGTGCTTGTCTATGAAGGACATTTACCAGAATTGATTTTGTCCACAATATAATATTGTTGTTTGCCGACTTCTCAACTCTTTAAGACTTTGCTTTGTTAGACGCAGCGTTCTTGCCCTATAAATAATGAGTAGAATCATGAACATTTTGCATTATTGAGTCAGGTATTATGTTTTGTCACACCGTGCCACACATGCAAAGATGAAACTCATATGAATTGAGTTCAATTCTTATCTATCTTTTGCATCTTCTAGACTCATCTTTGCATAATGACACGGGAGCCTTTGTTCATGGGGGCGGCGCCAGCCACCGGGGCCCTAGTTTTATTGAAATTTCAGCATGGACACCACACTGTGCTTTTGAAATCATTATCTTCAGCTCAACTGAAATTCGCATAAGCGCACAAACACATACTTTTGAAGATTTGAAATTCCTGTTCACCAAAGTCCCAATATACCCAAAACTACAAGATATGATTACATTATATAAATCGAGGAAGAGACAAGCACAATTCTTCAATAAAATTTCACTTGATTCAAAATTGATGATATTCAAATAAATTACGCGCCCATTTGACCAATTCATCAATCCGACGTGTAGTGGGATCAAAATCTAATCTAAGATCATAACAAAAAGATAGATCAGTTGGTCCGATTGGTTTTAACCTATAACAAATCTGTGCTCTTGTAGTATCAGTAGTATTTCCTTGAAGTTGATCACGGAAAGTCGAAAGTGAAATACCTGTATAAAGGTTTGAAATCCAATTAGTAAAGTTTGATAAATAAGTTCATTTGAAAGTGAGTGAAGAAAGTTCTTACAAGATAAAAAGATAATATCACCAGTTTTACAAACCGTTGAAAGTTCAGTTGCAGCTTCATCCCATAAAGTGATTTTGAGAGTCGAACCCGTATCATCAATACAATCAAATTCAGCCAAAGTAGCAAAACATTGACCTCTTCTTGGATTTTTCAATGGAATGATTCTAATAGGATTGATTTCATTTAAATGAAAAATCAAATCATAAGTTGTTTTTTGTTTTTTGTTTTGATGATGATAATCATTTAGTTTATTGAATTTTGTACAATTTCTTGATTCGAAATGCCATTCTGGTGGATTATATACTATCGATTCAGAAAAACTTTCTTCGATTTTTGAAAGGTTTGGGTTTTGGTTTGATCGATTGATTTGTGTTGAATTAGGATATAAACAGCTTACATCTAGACAAAGTGATGCATATTTCATCAGATTTTGACCAAGATCTACACATAAAATTAATCGAAACTCGTACCTTGGGACCATCTACTTTCATAGGAAGTCTCGTCGCGCGATAAAAGTTGACTCTCAAATATTTCATACTCCTCATTCAAGGTTTGATCTTGAACCGTAGTTTCATGAGTGATATCAGGATCCGGAATGATCGTATTTGAACTTACATCATTGGTCAAAGCTCCAAAATCGTTTGTGTTCGACTCGATTGAATGTTGGTTTGATGAATCGAATGGTGTTCGCAAAAGTTCATCAATTGTAGGTGGATTGCCAAATACTATATAACGTTTTACCATTCTGTGAAAGTCAAGATTTACTTTGATCCTTGTTTCTTTCCTTGAATCTTATCATGATCAAACCAATCTGTAATCATCTGGTATTGGCGATTTGTTGCTTGAGACACGTTTGACTTGATCAGGAAGCTTGAGGACTGTTGCACAGAGAGACTCTTGACTAAGTAATCGTGAAATTATTTGCGTGAATATGACACAAAATGTTAAGTTCTCTTAAGTACACGACTGTTTTCGCCATGTGCCCTTCCCGCACGACCAATTCCAACTCGCTGTGTCATAGGCGGATGATCAGCTGGACAGGATATCTTCACCCTTGCATCCTGCTTTTTATTCCAAATTTCCTCAGCTTCGAACGTAGCTAAGCTAAGCAATCAAGCGGGTCGAGTATCATTTCGAATATCTCCATGGGCAGATCCATGAGGCCCAAAGGTCGAGTTGGATAAATTCTTCAACTTCATCAGATGAAATAGTAACTCCCGGAATAACGTTAGATTCGGCAGTGTCCTGGACAAATGAGAAAGAATTATGTGGCTTTTCTGAGAGATCGATTTGAAGAAAAATAACAAGGATCGATTCCTTGGACCAATAAATCATTCCGAGGCAAGTTCATCGAAACGGTTTCGAATCAAGTCGGAATGTGCGTTCACCGGCTCCGTCTGCTGATGAGGCCTAGAAACAATTTTGCGCCAAAGTTCAAGCTACCCTGTGCGACTCGTCGACTTCATCTGTATATCAATTCTTGAGGGTCTCTTCGATTGTATTTTCAAGAGTCTCAACGTAGAGAAGCGAGCTGAGAGCTTTGGTGGCTTACTATAGATTGTCTCCCGAAAAATACCGAAAAGGTCTCAAGCTGACTAGGGTTGCTTGGGGCAATTCATTGACTTGAGGCTGTGGTCTACTTGGGTATCTTCGTATCACAGTTGTACTTGTAGTCCGCGCGAAGAGACTCGCTAGCTGAAGAGTAGCCAAGCTTGTTTCATGCAATCTTGTTCTCACTTCGAAAGGCTTATATCCTCCGTCTAGAATTGTCAGCGCCATGAGTTTGATACTTTCTCTTGTCCTCAATATAAGCTTCAACTCTTTCTGGAACAAGCTTACACATAGGCACGCGGGGCATCGCCTATATCAAAAGTGAGAGGACAACGACCAACACAAATTAACAGGTTTACTAAGGGCCCGATCGGTTGCCGTCAACCTCGCAGGCGTACGCCTTGCAAGCGTACGCTCGCGCATGCGCAGGTTGACGACGTCTGCCTCGCAGGTTGACTCAGAGATTGGGCTGTTCGGTAGCCCAAAGTCGACCCCATGAAACCCAAAGATCATGGGTTTCATGAAGGGATGATTCATGTACATAGAGATGTTTTGTGCAAAACATCAATTGAAAATTGATTGATCCTTGATCTCGTCCATTCGCATCGATCAACAATCAAAACTTCATCTCATCGATCATCGAAATTAAAAGCATAGGTCATACAACCATCACTCAGTTGCATCCAGGATGCCACTTATTCGGGCAGAGCAACACGCTCGAAAACGACTCCTTGTCTCGGCAGCCTTTGGTGCTGCTCAATACTACACCTCCTATTTACAACGTAGACCACCAACTGTACGGAACAACTCTGTTCTCTCCGGACAACAATGGCTGAACGAGCTTTTGGAATCAAGCAATCCGCGCCGTTTTTACGATCAGCTGGGCATGAAGCCTCACGTCTTCCTCAAATTGGTGGATGATCTGGAAAGCAGAGGGCTTCTTCAAGATACAAAACATATGACTGTTCAAGAGCAGTTAGCTATCTTTCTATTCACCATCATCACCGGGAACTCTGTCCGCAAAATTGAGGAGCGCTTTCAAAGATCCCCAGACACGGTTTCACGGTATGATGATCTTTCTGGCATTTTTCAAGGCTGAAGCATTGCTGATCCTTGGTTTCTGCGCTCAGTGTATTTCACAAAGTCCTCGATGCCATCAATGATTGTGATTTCTACACCAACTTGGTCAGACAGCCCACAGTGTATACATCTCTTCCACTTGCCTTTCGCACAGATGAACGCTTCATGCCATACTTCAAAGACTGTGTGGGTGCAATAGATGGAACCCACCTTCCAGTACATGTTGCACCAGATGACCGACCTCGATTCCGTGACCGAAAATCAAATCTCAGTCAGAATGTGCTGGCAGCTGCGAATTTCAACATGATGTTTCAATATGTCATGCCAGGCTACACTGGTACAATGCCAGATAGTTCCATGTGGGAAGACTCGTGTCAAAGATCTTTGGTAGTTCCTGAAGGCAAGTTTTACCTTGGGGATGCTGGCTTCAGTCTCAGCCGAAAATGCTTAGTTCCATATAGAGGAGTTAGATACCATCTTCAGGAGTGGTCCCGGCTCAAGGATAAGGAGTACGTCTTGAAATCTCAGTTGCTATTGGAATCTCATTGCTGAATTGTGTTCAAAATTCAGGCCGGCAAATAAAGAAGAGCTCTTTAACCTGAGACATTCCAGTGCACGTATGGTGATTGAACGCATCTTTGGGGTTTCAAAAAAGCGCTTTACAGTCATGGAACATGGGACCTACTATCCTTTCAAAACTCAGGTCCGACTAGTTCCTGCTATGTGCGCAATTCACAACTTCATCCGTCTCCACGACAGCAGCGAACTCGAACTTGAATTCCCTGAATTCCAAGCCCTTTCTGAAAACCCGCTGCCACATAACTCTAGTTCAACTTTGGCAGATGGCTATGAAATAGAAGATGGTGCAAATGATGATACGGATGCAGCAAGATGGCGCGATGAGATTGCAAATAGGATGTGGGCAGATTATCAGAAGAAGAAGCAAGCCGAGGCCAGGAGAAGAGGACAAAGGTAAACCAGATCTTGGTAACTTATACATATAAATTATACATATTACATGCATATCTCAAAAATCTCAAATGATGTCAACTTATGTTAAAAGAGGCCAGGTTCATAATTATATTTTGTGACTACATATATATTTGATCAACTTTGATCAACTTGAAAGCTTTCATTTCTTTTGGGTGTTCTGATCAAGCATCTCTAACAAAACATTTTGAGCAAGTACAGGATTATTGATTGCCATATAAACTCCAGCCATCTCTGGATGTTGGCCAAACATGGCTATGATCTTTGCTTGAACCAACGGGCCAAGCTCCACCATATCCTCTATTTTTGCAATTGCTTGAAGGCTAATTGGGTCAACCTTTGAGCGAGGTTCTTCTACAGTTGACTTTAAACCCATGAGAATCTTGTCCCCAAAAAGATCGAGTGCGGCCGCTCCGTTGTTTCCCCGGCGACGTTGAGAGTTGTAAGGTTTGGAGGAAGAAGACAATTCGTCTTCAACTACAGGATGTTGCTTACGCTTGCGCGAGACGATATGCATATCTGATTGTGTTGTTTGGGCCAGAGAGTCCGAGTGAGAATGAGTTTGAAGAGAGCTTGACTGTAAGGCTAACTCGGAGTTGATCTGGTTCTGAACGATCAAATTTGATAATCGGTCAGTCTGAAAAGTATACACTGTCACAACCATTCCTCAAGATAGTACATACCAGAAACTCCTCTTCGTCCTCACCGCTTTCGTATTGGCGGAATGACGCATCATAATCTGATGATGGGAGTGGCTCTTGCTCCAATGAATCCTGGATTGATGATCCACCATTCATATTCTTTACTGTAGCTGGTGTAGGTTGAGTCGGATCGAATGTGTCTTCGGCGGATGCGAGTATCTTGCCAACAAGCGCTTCCATCTTATCAAAGAGTGGAAACGGTGTGGTTGCCCATTTTGCTCGGCTTGGGTCTTTTGCAACCAGATCCTTCCACACCTTCTCTGATATTTGCAACGTCTGATCAACATGGCACCAGCCCATTCCACTCTTCTTGCTGAGTTCCTTCACGACCCTAAAATCTGACTTCAACTTAAAAACAGTTTTACCCACAAAGAACCACAAAGTCAGCTTTATGTGATTCAGCGTGATGAGATACAATCAACAATACCTTTGTAAACTTGTTCTGGCACTGGAGCCATGTTTTCTTAAGGCTGCCAACTCGCTCGGTTCCTTTGAGTGCCTCTGCACACTGATTCCATGTTTCATTCTTCCAGCCCGAGTCAGACATCTTCCCCGCTTCCTTCTCTTTCAAGAGGAAATCAACCATTTTTGACACGTCCTCATCGGTCCATTTTGCGGTGAGTTTTGGAGTATGAATGTCTTCCGTCTTTTGAACATCTTCTTTCTTTCTTGAGGGCATGTTGTGGACGAGGAATCGTACAATTTGTATGTATGTATTATTGCATCCAACAACGATCTCGTGAAAAATTTCACGCGTTTCACTCCAACATCCTCCAACATCAGATTTGACGATTGTGGAACTTCGCCGAAGCCAGGTCTATGGTAGTAGACAGGTCAACCTGCGAGAATGTGGCAAAACGGTCAACCTGGCAGGTCGACCGTTTTGGCTGGTAGACCTGCCGGGCGTACGCTTCACCCTTTTTCCAAAAGGGTGTACCGAACACCTCAACACCCAGGCGTACGCTTCAAACTGCCTTGAAGCGTACTCCTCAACTTTTGGCTGGGTCAACCTGCGAGGTTGACGGCAACCGAACGGGCCCTAAGCTTAACTTTAACTAAGCCCCTCTCGCGCGGCCGCGTCGGCGCGGTTTACTAACTAGCATGGCGTCCCCGCCTTTACACTGTGCAAAAAAATGCTGCTCAAGGCTCTTCTTCGTCGGTGACTTCCTTCACAAGGCGGCATGAGGCCGCCAATTGCTAATTCGTATTAAACCTCTCAAGTTCCGATCCACCCATGCTTGCTTACATACCACTTTATACCACTTTTCCAGAAAATCTAAATCACTAAAATATTTTGTTCATACGCCTTTCCAATTCTGTTGTAAAATAGATCTCAATCTTCATAACCCTCTTCACATCTCAACTCCCTCAATAATCTTACAAAACATTGAAATCTTTTGTCCATACGCCTCTGTATCTATTGTAAAAATATAATCTATCATGCATCCTGCCTCTTTCACCAAAATTTTCCTTACGTTTTACATTCTGATAGCTTCTTCCCAAGTTCTCACACAAGAAGAAGCCTCGTCCGGATCCCCACCACAAGCTCCTCCCACCACTGTTACCTCAGGCGCACCCGTCAAATCCGATGCACCATCTCCTGCGTCCAACGGCACATCCACTGCTTTTAACGGGACTTCTAAAGCTGTAGACGCCGCAAAAAAGTCAAAAACAGTTAACTCGATACTAAATATAGTTTCAGAAGGGTCAGTCTCATCAACTTACATCCGATTCCTACGCAGGCTTAGAAACACTGATACTGATACAATCTTTTATCTCGAATACAAAAGTGTCAGTGAAGGTTTAGCAGTAACTGCAAATGTGTTTAAAAAGTTTGCAAATATGACCGCTGCAAACGCTGCAAATTCTCGACGTTCAATAAGTTTTGATAAAGAAGATTGATGTTAGTTTGGAATCTGTAATATATATCCTTTGCATTGCTTGATTGACTTTTACAAGTCAGGACTCAGCTGAATATATGTTACTTTTCATACATTTTTCAAACATATTTATCATCAGAATCTAAAGCAGAAGTAAATTTTTATGAATTATTGTATATCTTATTAGTGTTGTAATGTATTATAGACTAGTACCCGCAGGAATTAAATCATGTTGAGCTGGATTTCCTTTCCTAACAACTTGACCAGCAGTGGCGGCCCGCTGGCCATGATGTTTCTATATTGCTCACACAGCTGCCTAGGAAACTTGTGCAGATGAGAAGATGAATGAATGCAACAGTTACATTGAGAGGAACTTCAAAACAATTTTAACATTCATAGATAATTATCTGGGAGAGTTGAGACAGGTTGGAAATGGACATATATACTATAGGCACTGGTTCCCGAGGAGACGGGGTATACAGAGGGCCATGGCACAAGTTCAACGCATAAAATGAACACATTGTTAGATAGATAAATGTTCAAAATGAAATGGAATATAGCAAAGCAGGACTGATGACCAAGAATCAGATCACTGATCAGAGTCTAGATGGAAGCTTTTGAAAAGCTGGGTTTAATTGTGTGTGTTATTTTTCCCGTATCTCTTGCTAAAAGTCAAACATCATCTTTGTTTCCAACATATAGTACAATTTGGTAAACCAGGTCTTCCAAGTATATTTAAGAAAGAAAGTATGATTGTTTGATGTCTTTAAGCATATGATCTGTACCCAAAATGACCATGTTTGATGCATCATTTTTTTGGAATGTGACACACTGATCAGCAAGAGATGTGGTCCTGTCACAGCTTTGGGCAAGGCAAATCCATCCTTGGGTGCTGTGTCATCGCAGCTCCCAATGTTCCACATGATTCATTGAATGGAAGGAAAACAATCAAATTCTAGGGTGTGTTTTTTTGTCTGCTTGGGTGTTCAGAAGTGGCACACAATGAAATAAGAGTAACAGGTCCTGGGCTTGTCTTTTCAAAATGTTAGCATTTTTAAATCAAATGAAATGTACTTTGAAATCTCAAAGCAGTAATCAATAACATTACAGATATTATACATGGAGAAAATAAAATCAAGGTTGTTCAAGTAGATGTGCATTGACTCAGCCGTCAAGGGAGCTTCATGATCAAAAAGGCAGGCCAAGGTTGATTCTAGAAGAACACAGTAAATGATAGGTTAGAAAAGATTGAACCTTGTAGTGTATGAGCTCAGTCTGAATGTACGCACAATATTAAAATCAATCAGGCCGGTATATGGTTGCTCTCACTTTGATTTGTTCACAACATTTCTCCAATGAAACCAACTGATCTTCGATTTCTTGAGTAGGAAGTCCAAGATTTCGAAGATCAGAAGTTTTGACTTCCAACGTTTTAAGCTGAGGCCAAGTAGCTCTCAACAAAATCTTATTCAATACCCTACAATGTTCCAATGTCCTACATGCTCATTCAAGATGTTGTAAAGATTTACAGTCTTGGAAACCGGTTAGTAAGTGGGCACTTTGATTATTCAAGTACAAGTCAGTCCGAAATGGAAGCAAAAAACAACTACGAGTATCCCAACTAGGCTTGATGTCCGGAATATTATCTTCATCCTTATAAGCAAAGTAAAGTGTGAGACTTGTCAAGTAAGGCGCAATGTGATGATAGTTTGTTTACAAAATGAGCATAACTTGTTGTTCTTAGGACGGCGATCATTAGATGCAGAAGAACAAGTAGATGATTTCTGATTTGGGATAAAAGATTTAGAAGCCATCGCTGGTTGATATCCGGACAATTGACGACAGATCTCCTCGTTCTTCAGAGCCCGAAAGACTGTTGAAGATTCAAGATTCTTTTGTTGTGCAAGAGGTGTGATTACATGGGCCCAATTGTCTGGGAGATAATTGATGAGAGAAGTAGCAAATATAGCATCTGCGGTAAGAGGACTATCCTCAGTGATGAGGGAAGAAAGCTTTTCAAACAATTTGTTCATTGTTTGGAGATGCGTGTCGAGATGATTACCTCCCATCTTAGTCAAGAGTAATGAGTTTAAGATGAGCATTTGACCACCAGAGGTGGAATCTTCATGAGCAAGTCAAAGCACTTTCCACATGGCAGCGGCATCGTGGCGGTGAGGCTTGATGTACTGGTAGTTGATGTCTTCAACCGCTCGACTGATAAGAGTACAGACATGAGCGTTGTCTGCAACCCAAGTAGAGGAACGATCCTTGTTGTTGACCGGTTTTATCACGTCAGTGAGTTTTGCGTCTATGAGATAGAGCTTGACCGCAAACTCCCAATCTAGATAGTTTGAGTGTATACCAGGACCCTTCAGTGCAGTGATGCCTGACATCCTATTGGATTGGTCTTCTACATTAGTAGTGGAATCCATGGTAATAGGGAAGATACGAGTTGGGTAGATAGTAGAAGAGGTTGGCCAATATACAACAGTTGTGTATAGAAGTGGGAAATCCAGATTGGAAGTAAGAGGACGGTAGTTGTATCAAGATATCAAAGAGTTGTATGAATATGTAGAAGAAGAGATGGAGTAGTATAGAAGACGATATCAAGATGAGATAAAGTTTTACTGTAAATTACTTCAATAAGCAGTACAGGACCCTTATATAGTTGGTGCAAGTTGAGTTGAAAGCAAGAAAATAGGAGAAGTTAAAGGTTTCAACACAGTTGGTAGAGAATGGGTCTCATAACCTGTTGCGATCAACTGGAGCGCACATAAAGCAGATGGAAAGGATGGTTGCAATTTCATAGAAGCAACTATATAGAGACTAACAAAAAGAGAAAGACATACCTGGAGTGCACGTAAAGCAGATGGAAAGGGTGAATAAAAGAGAACCCTTTCCTGCTGTGGCTCCTGGTTGCCTATATACAAATGTGTTATGTAACAGTTATGTAAGCACTAAACAGGATCCGTTGAGTGAGAGAATAACACATTGAACAATGAGAAAAGAAGCATGAAGATGGAAAGCACACATTGACAGACGTTGATAGGAATACGACATGATTCTCATGATATCATACTAAGTATTCCAACAAGTCTAAGCTGAGCGGTCCAATTTGATGATGCCATCCTGATACCAATTTGTGAGGGGCTATTTGATTGTCTTCCAAGGTTCTCAACGTACAAGAGAAGCGAGCTGAGAGGCTTTGGTATGAATTGTCACTCAGTGATATTATCCTGACAAAAGTTTGATATCAAAAGCGGTAAGTTTGTCGCAGCTGTCAAAATGCTGAGCTCAAACCTCAAGTATCTGTCAAGTTTAAATTCAATCTTAATTTCCTCCATCAGCTGAAAAACAAGTCTTGATGGGGCTGTCACTAGAATTGTTTGGCGGCCTAAAATGATTTTTTTTCATTGAAAGTGTAGTTCATCCTGTGCATTCCCAATTGCCCGTCTATAACTCAAAACCAGCTCAACACAACTTCCAAAATGTAGCTGTCATCTTCATCTCAAAATGCACTCAGCAAAGATGCATCCATCCAACGTGCTCTAAATCCAAAGACTTTTTGAAGCTCATTTTATGCTTAGTGGCTCTCAAACCTAACCCAGTTTTAAAAAACTCGGTTGCCCCAGTGGAATTTTTGACTGGGAGCTGTCAACAAATGTCAACTTGATACACAAAGTTACTGCCAAAAAACAACTGGGTCAACTGGGTTTTTTGAAAACCGGGGCAGGTTTGAGAGCCACTATTGTAAAAACAAAGAAATTAAACCAAAACCAAAAAGAAAGGAAAGAAACGGTGACAGAAAATCAATTGACATCCCTCACCGTCACGTAGTAAAATAACCAAAAACCAAAAACCCATCTTGAAAGCGCGATAAATAATCAGATTTACAAAATAAATACACAAAAAAGAGAAGAGAAAAAAGGAAACATACTCTTTCATGATGATATAGACAGAGAAAGTAAAAAGGAATTTTCAAATAAACTTTAAAGTTTTGTTTTGTTTTGTTTTGTGTTGTTTTGTAAAGAAAAATAAACCATATTGACAATCTGATAATTTCTTAAAAAGAAGTCAAACAAAATTTCAATATATCAACAAGATTATATAAGAATCAGGAAAAGAAAACAGAGAAAAGAAAAGAAAAGAGAAAAAAAAAGATGAAAGCTAGATTCAGCAAAACATCTGTGCTTGAACAATATATATATATAAATAAAACATGATTCTTTAACCTTTCTAATTAATTTATCTTCAAAGTATCCCAATCAATCGAACTTGTGACTACACAAATGAAAGAAAATCTCTTCTCTACAATCTCTTACCAAAAATTCCAAATCTATTTCCAAACCCAACTCAAGTAATTCAATTTAATCAAAGTAACAGATCATCATTATTAGAATTAGAAGTCGAGTTAGCAAAGCTAGAAGATTGATTACTATTTTGATTCAAAGGAGTTCCCATCATTCCTCCACCAACTGAACCCATCGGTTTACCATTTTGACCACCCCAAATCGATGCACTACTTTGTTCTCTTGCCATCGTAGCCATACTAACTTTAGAAGCCGCTGGTTTGTTTCCTTGAGCACTCGTTCCACTGGTCATACCAGCAAATGAGAATAAGTCATCGAAATTGGCACTATTAGTCGGTTTAGTTGCAGTCGACCCCGATGGAGGTGGTTTGGCCGACGAGGTCATAGGTGTGCCGAAATTGGCCATACTTTGGTTCATTGAGCCCATGTTAGGTGCTCGATTGTTACCCATCATCCCGTTGCCCATCATTCCGTTACCCATCATAGGTTGCATCATTGCCGCATTTGACATTGGTTGGCCGGCTGGTGGTGACATCATGGATTGACCCGAGGTAGGTGAAAAGGCCGAGAAATTATTCATAACAGGTTGTTGTGACATAGGCTGAGTAGTTTGTGTGGACGAAGCGTTGAGTAACGCAAAGACGTCAGGCTTACTAGCCGGCTGAGATGAACTGGTTTGTGCTATAGAAGCGCCTCCAGAGACCGTTGGTGGAGCAGACTGAAAGTCGTCAAAGTCGTCTTTAAGTTACAAGAGGTGATCGCGGCGAGGAAATGTTGGTCAGATCCCCTCAAGTTCCATTGTCCGAATTGCGAATCTAAAGCATATACAAACTTACCATCCAATCCTGCCAAAGAGTTCCCGCCCAAAGTAGGAGCTTTAGAAGAGGTAGCTGATGGAAGTGGAGGAGCTTGATCCTCATCATCATCAAAGGAAAATAAATCGACTTCCTTAGCTTTAGGAGCCGGTACTGCGGCCTTTTCTTGAGCTTTCTTAGTCACACTCGATACACGAGTGTTACTGATACTGCCTCTTCCCTTTGGAGGAGGAGAGACGGTTTTTTGTGCATTCGAACCTGACGGACGGTCTTCCCATTCACCGGCGTCATATTCTTCAAAATCATCTGCTTGTTTGAAAGAAGAGCTACCACCGTTATAATTGTCGCGGCTACTGCTACCGCCACCATTGTTCCCTGTAAAGATGAATCATGTAAGTTGCTATGTTGACCAGGTAGAGTTTGATTCATCAACAACAAACAATCATCACCGCCGCCACCGCCGCCACCGGAAAATCCACCAGTGTCACTACCGAATCCTCCGTACTTGGAGCCAGTAGCACTCGTGAAAGACGGGCCTTCATTGCCTACACCTGTATATTTGTTACGGGAAGCCTTAGCCTTTCTTCTTTCTTGACGAACTCGATCCAAATCAGACAATAACTCTGCAATCTCTTTAGCACGATTACGGACTATTGATTGAAACAAAAAGGACGAAGGTGAGTTGATGATCATGTAGCAGACATCGACAATCGAACATACCATTGATACCCTGATCCTTAGCTTTTTCATCAATATAATGAAAACTTCTCAACACCTTGATCATCGAGATATGAGATCGAGCATCATCAATGACTCGTTCAGAACCATGTTTAATCAAATATTCAAGTAATTGTAAGGCTTTGTAAATCTGTCTCCATTCACGAGCTTCCTTTTCAGTAAATCGTTTGTAAATCGTTGGCATGATCTCGTTAAATTGTTGACTAACCAAAGAAACAAAAGATCACATCAAATTAAACGTGATGATCAGCATAAGTACTTCGATGTGTGAGATATGTGGATATACGCGCAAGAAAAGATAACTTACAAATTGAATGTTCTGTATAAATATGAACGTCATGAATTCAGCTCCAAAGATACGGTATCAAGGTGATCAATCACAAAACAAAACAAAGCCTACCCTTGAGCAATTTCCTGCATGACAGTAGAACTCGCACCCCTAAGATCAAGATCAACAATCAAGTTGATAACACACAATAAATCAACAACCAAATCCGATGAATCGCAAATGATTGCAGATTAAGATATATATATATATCAAACTTAGAAAACATATCTACCATGGATCATCATTAGTAGCTTCTCTAACTTTAGCTTCCATTTCAGTATAATTGAGTACAACAGCTTTAGCTTGATTGTAATATGATTTAATATCATAGAGTGAGATCTGTTGGATCGAAATTCATTCAAGTCAGGTACCATTCCGATTCGAATAAAATAAACTCAAACACATCGAACAGAATAGATGAACAAATCGTGGAACTAACCTGAGCAAGCGAGCTCCCGATTGCTTCTATTTTGTCCATTTCCGAATTGATGATTATATCAAAATGAACCTTTGTGGTGTGCTTAAGTACAAAGTGTTAGAAACGCTCTTTGATATTAGCATCACCACTTTCTGATTATATTACAAAGTCTTTGGATTGAAAACTCACTGAATCTCTCCTTGGTTGATTATGAGGAAGTGATGTGATGAAGTATCCTAGAAGATCAGTTTGAGGAATGAGATCGATAATAGCCTGAGTGTGAATTCTGAGAGCACTGACTCAGTGACGTGAGATCGACTAGCTTCATTATCCGGTACCGATATTTCATTGAGCACAGACCGAGCTCTCGAGTAATTTGTTGGAGTTATGATCTCGATGCTTGATTGTTCGTTTCAAGTTCATTGCTACTACCACCATCATCATCACCACACGTTTATTACCAACATGCTTTCAATTCCAATCTCAAGACAATATCTTTCAATTAACTCTAGGTTTATCATTGGATCTCATCGATCCTTCTCCTCCTCTCAATCATTTCGTAATGTCTCAACTCTTGTCTTTCTCGAACACAAGGCGGGTAAAATCAATTCAGCTACTTTGAGTGCTTTAAACTTGGCTAAATCATTAGGAGGAGGTATCACTGGTATCATTGTAGGATCATCAAAATCAAGTGAAATGAATGAAGCTATTGAGAAGGCTAAGAAGTAAGTATGACGATCTCCCTTCTCAAGCTCGCCATCAAATTGATAAATGAAGCTAATGTCAAACTTTTTTCTTAGATTACCTATTTCAAAACTTTTAGTCAAAGAAGACGATAACCTAGAACATGTACTAGCCGAACCTTTTGCACCTCTTATTGCCAACGTCACCAAAGAAAGATCATTTACTCATCTAGTTGGTGGTACTACCTCAGTCACCAAGAATATATTTCCAAGAGTAGCCGCACTCTTAGACGTTCAACAAATCTCAGATGTGATGAAAGTAATCGATCAAGAAACATTTATGAGACCGATTTATGCTGGAAATGCACTCTGTACATTAAAAAGTAAAGATTCCATAAAAGTGATCACAGTACGTTGTGCAAGTTTTGAACCTATTACCGATACTTCAGAAGGAGAAGTTGAAATAGAAAAATTAGAATCAATTCAAGCTGGTCAAATCATATCAAATTGGTCATCCGAAACTTTAACTAAATCAGAAAGACCTGAATTAGGTTCAGCCAATCGAATCGTATCAGGTGGTAGAGGAGTTAAAAATAAAGAAAACTTTGATTCAATCTTAATACCATTATCAGATAAATTAAATTCAGCTATAGGTGCATCAAGAGCAGCAGTCGATAGTGGGTTTGCAGATAATTCTTTACAAGTCGGTCAAACTGGTAAAGTAGTTTCACCTGATCTTTATATTGCTGTTGGCATCAGTGGTGCTATTCAACATTTAGCTGGTATGAAGGATAGTAAAACGATTGTAGCTATTAATAAAGATCCAGAAGCTCCTATCTTTCAAGTGGCTGATGTAGGCTTAGTAGCCGATCTTTTTGAAGCTGTACCGTAAGTTTTTTGGTTTTTCTTCCAGATATTCTTCGAGAGTAGAGCGAGACATACTGACGTTTGGTGTTGGTTTTGTTGTTAAGTGAGTTGACCAAGAAGATCTGATTAGAATCACTTTATACGGTGTAAGATGTGATCTATTCTTCATAAACTTGATTCTTGAAGTTGTACTAAGATCTTAGATTGCCTAAATTTTGTATTGCATTTCCATCATCTCGTTTGACTTTTTCTGTTCTCTATTTTTGATTTGATTTCAAACAGAGCCCCTCGTTTTTTTGTATCATTGTATCATGTTTGAGTGTCACTTTTAGAGAGAAGTGGATTGTGTGAATGTGTAAGGTGATCTTTTATATGGTTCTCTCAGCACAACATTTCCTTAACGCCAAACGAGTCTCTGTTTTTTATGGATCCATAATGGTTCAGGAATCCAATTTGAATCATGGAAAATAGGTGTCAAAGAATGCCTCTTGGTACAACCCTACAGGTGTGTGTGACACGAGGTAACTCTCAAAATCCATTCCTAAGATCAAGTTTGAGATATGAGGCCATATCAGGGGATGAAATATGGCGCACGCTGCCCCTTCTTATTCACGCTCAAAGCTTTTCCCAAGAACTACTCTCCGGTGAGTCCAATGGCTCAAATGACTGCGTGTCTTTAAATTTCTCTTATTTGTTTGCAATTCTTTCTATATATATCAAGATCCAAACTCAAACAGATTCATAAGATACGTGTCAGCAATGAGCATGCTTCCTCTATTCAATTGCCAATAATTAGTAGCCTTGAACTGTTTAAAAGCATCATTTTACCACTGAAAACCTTATCAGAATAAATAAGATAAAATTTCTTCCCCACTTGTTTTGATTTTCTATTTTATTTGCCAGGAAAATGACACACTTCATAAAAAAAGAAGGCTATGCCAGAACGGGGATGGTATCCTATCTGGTTCTTACCACATCCGATTGTGTAGAAGATGGTTAAATATGACCCCTCAATGCCCCGCAGAATCTATGAAATGAGTTGGTTGAAGTTGAAAGAAACCAAAAGTTGATCGATCTTCAAATTTCAATGAATTGATGACATGTGGATTACGTAGCTGTCACAGACTGTGATAGATTGCAATTTGCCAAGCACCGGTTATTCAGAAAACTATGATCACCGGCAAATCAACATCACCATCTGGCATCACCATCGAGCTCCTCAGCATTCTCAACACTTTTTCAATAAATGGTACAACAAAGAACACCTTAATCAAAATGATGACTAGAAAAACTTATTGTCAATCTCTATACATAATCTCATCATCATCATCATCATCAACACCAACCCCATCACGCACAAAGTTTTCCACAAGTAGTACCACAAGAAACCCAACGAATTTTCCATTTCCAAACCATCCTTATCCAACACCTTATGAAATCTTTCATTTACCAAAAACAGCCAACACGATTGAAATCAAATCAAGATATTATCAATTAGTCAAAATCCATCATCCCGATCTAGGGTTTTCAATCACTCATCTTCCCAGCAGCAGCACCACAAATCCATCAAAAGCTCATCAAACCGGTTCACAAAGTATTGGATCAGAAGATCGGTTTAAGAAGATTGTAGAAGCCTATGAACTTTTAAAATCTCCTTCTAGACGTCAAGTTTATTTAAATTCAGGTGAAGGATGGCCAAGATCTTCAAACTCATCTAGCCGTGCTTCTCGTGCCCCTCCTTCTTCTTCCTCCTCCGATCGACCTTATCGACCGTTTTATCCAAGTTCGTTATGGGATTGGACATCATCTAATCCAAGAAATGAAACCAATCGATATACTACTTCAACTGATGATGATGATCATTGGTTTTCATCCCGATACCATCAATCATCTTCAACTTTTAAAGAACAATGGGAACGTGATGGATTATTTACCAAGAATGGAATCTTTATTTCTTCACTAGGTTGTGTGGGTGTGATGTTTTATTGTTTTCAAGCTTGGAAAGTGATGCCTTTATTAGATCATAACAAAAAGTATCAAGATTCAAATGGTTCTTCGAATTTCAATTCACATCGATCTGAACCTATTGGTGATAAAAGACTTGATTGGGAAGCATGGCATCAATCAAATCCTACAGCTTCACAACCTACCCCACAACCGTCTATTCACACCAGCTCATTATCTCCCGAACATCATGGGTCTTATCCACATCCATTGGCACCTACATCGTACATGGACGTGATCAACAGACGAAGTCAGAATGCGGCCAAAGACCTCAAGGCCGCTCGAGCTGCTGCTATTTCTCCTAGTCATCTTGCAGGAGGCAAATCTATCACACCTGACCTTGTCTCATCTCACACACGTTCATGACATATCATCCTCATTGCGCGATAGACTAGCTTCTTCTGCTTGCTTGGACTGATCAGAAACTGTTTTTCAAGGTGAGCACAACATACAAACACATTCTCTTATCCATTCTTTTATCCAAGGATCTAGAAGCTCATAACATGCCTTATAAAAAATGAATTTGGAGTAGATCCACAGAAGCCATACCTATCACAAGACCTATACGATCCGTATCAAATCATGACCCCAATCTTTTTTCTCTATATTTCGATTTGTATAAGATGTGTGATTTATAAATTATGGAATATTGCAATTTTAACCATCTGTAAGTTTTAGTGTGCGAAACCTCAAAAGTAAAGAATTTCAAAGTTACTTGTAACCTTTTCCTATGAGTCAGGATTTCTAAAGAGAAAGTGTTGAGTAGAAGATAAAGACTTTTTTCAAGTATACAACACGAGAATGATCTTACAATCGAGTATCGAAACAGACCACCAACAAGGAAAATCTTGTATATAATCTCCTCTGCTTTCCATGCCCTCAATAATCCATGAAATACTTATACAAAGTGGTTTGGTTTTATCAAAATAGAAAATGTAAAGAAAATGTGTAATTATAAAGAAAAAAGGAGCAAGGAGACCAATCAAATCAAAAATAATCTTCATGTATGTTTAAAATAGAAAACTTGATTTGCAATCTAAAACTTTGTTAAAATTAAATGAAGTCGAATCTTGATTCTCAAGTATCTTGTAAAACCTTTTTAAGTTCAGAAAAAAGAATCTTACAAACCTACGCCAAACCCCCCAAAAAAACCCAAGAATCAGTAAACCCATCAAGTTCAAAAAACCAAAAGAATTTATGTAAAACTAATTAGGTATTTACTTACTTTACATCTCCCACCTGTAGCTTGTTTCATAGCACACTTCTTACACAAAGTAACATGTAAACAATTAATAGGTCCATAAATCGCCAAGTTCGTATGACAAACATGACAAAATTCTTGATAATCTTGATCATGGTCTTGGGTTACAGATGAAGTAGGTGAAGGTGTTTCTAGATCTATTTCAATTACTTTGGTACTTGAATCGGTTGTCATCTTTGGGGTTTCTTGTTTTGATTTTTTAAGATTCTGGTAAAGTAAGTGTTGAAGTTTTTGATGCGAGGTTTTGATGCGAGGGTTTTGAATGATCGGTTGATTTGATGAAGAATAATTAAAGGATTCTTGGAGTTGGAGGTGGCCGGATTCGGAATCATTTTCGAGCCGATAGGATCCGGCCTTGAGATATCTGGGATGACCAGGAGTCCGATTCGACCCCAGAGAACGCATCGGGTTCATCAAAACTGGCCCTGCTGCAGGTCAACTGTGTCATGTGGAAGCTGATTGCTGAGCTCAAAGACCCAAAAGTGACTTGATGATATCCAACAAATTATCTGAAATCCTCTTCGACTTGGCTAGCCTACATGACTTTGAGAGAGTTCTGAATGGATGATTACACACTTGATAAGCAAAGTTGCTTGAGGACCCCAGCTTATGAATCAGTATGAGGAACTGTATGACACACATCTTTTTCTGGGGAACAACAATCAACTTGAAAGCTTGGAAGAGACTGCTCCAGAAAAATTGAATCAACCACAAAAAAAAGATAACTTGAGTTTAATTTTGAAATTAGTTTTTTTTGTGGGTTTCTAAATTGTACAATACTTGGTTCTGTAAGAAACTCAATATATCTCAAAACATCTCAATTTTCAAATCACAAATCACAAAAAAAAACTAAAAACCTTGTGAAGATAATCCAAATTTGTTTCAAGATCTTATCAAAACAAATAAGTTCTTTCATATATGAAATAAAACCAAAACTCAGAACAACAAAGTAAAAAAAAACAACAACAAAGAAAACAAAACAAATGAAAAGTCCATGAAAAACAAAAACACAAAAAACATAATCCTCCTTTTAAAACCAGCTACACAGATAGACAAAAAGAGAGAGAAAATCAAAGAAAGAGAGAAAAAAAGGTTTTGATTTCTTAAATAAAACACAAAAAAGGAAGACATATGAAGTTGGTACAGATGATAAAGAAAAAAAAAGTCAAAGAAATAAAATGTTTAACAGTAAATAGAGAGAGAGAGAAGAGAAGAGAAAGGTTTTTAGATAAGTATAAAATGCTACTATCGATAATAGAAAGAAAATCCGAAAATACAACTAAATGAAGTTTTAATAACATTGAGTTTTACGTTTCTTAAGCTCATGTTGATGATGATGATGATGATGATGTTGTTGTTGTTGATGATGATGATCGATTTGAGATTCTTCAAAAGAATTAAAACCAAAGATAGCAGGAGGAGAAATAAGTTGAAGTACTTCAGATGTACTAGAGACCGGTCCACTATAAAGTGAAGAACAACCCAAACTTGGTGTACTTGATTCATCATCATCTTCTTCAATTTCTTCTTCAACTACTCTTTTTCGTTTAAGTTCATCCATCGGACCTGGTTCTAAAGTTTCCAAAGCAAAACATCAGCTCAGGAAAAATGATCCATGTATAATGGGAAACAATTCAAACACTCACTGTTTATAGGTTGTGATTTGGTTAAAAGTTCAATTCTTTGTTCTGGAATAGGTGGTAAAGCCCATAAGATCTCAGGTCCACAATTACTTTCACGATAATAATTTTGAAATAGATATTCATTTCCAGTTCGATAAGAATGAAGTGAATTCCAATTGTTTAATCGATTATAAAGATGTTGAAATTCGAGTGAAGGGATTGTCTTTAAGATCGGATGACTTGGAAGATGATGAGTTGAGAAAAATTCTTCTTGATTTTCTGGTAAATGTTCATCGGTTAGTGGATAAGTCGATTGTGATATCATTGGAGCGGTTTGAGACATGTTTCGGTTGAGAAAAGTAGAGTTGCAAACCACAAAGAGTACAAACGGTCGAGCAAGGGTGGTGAGAGAATAACGGAGTAGAATGAAATGCGAATGTGTAGTTGGATGAGATTGAGGGGATAACCTGTGATGAAGTGATTCGAGATGGAATTTATAGACCACCAAGGAAATGGGTTCAAGATTTAACAGAAAAAATGGCTTGTTGAAGATCCACCCCAACCAATCCTTTTGCAAATTGACGTGATGATGGAGAAAGGTATGTATGAATTGACAAGAGACCGATAAGGTACCGAAGATGATCGGCGTAGGTGTCAGAAGATGACAGGCAAGTATAATATTATGTTCTTATACAGCTCTGTGTGGGTCTTGGTGAGTTATTATTCTGTTTGTGTGTGTGTGTGTGTGGATGGGTGTTTGCGTGTATATCCTTGTGCGATTGTGCAAAGGGGCAAAAGGATTTAGAGCGATAAAGTCTAGTTGAATGTATGGTGATGGTGGTGATATGATATAGATTATCTGACTAAAACCGGAGAGTCAGCATAAACTGAATGAAAGCGAGAGGAATTAGATGTTGAAAGAAAATGGTAAACGAGGAAAGCGAACTGACAGGTTATTTTTCAGATAGATTTCGAATTCAGGGAGATAGCGGAGAGTTTTTGTCAAGTGTGATTGATGGATGGATTAATTGATTGATTGATAGTCGGTGAAGAAAGAGATGAGATAAAGATTATATATATATATATATCTTTGAATGAAAGGGAGAAGATTGATTGAAGGTTTTGAGCTATTTATCTAGCTTGAGACTACAATGAGAATGAATGGTTGATAAGAGTTGGAGGAAAACAATTTTAAATGAATTTGATCTTAATGAAAAACGAATCAAACTCAAAATGTTGAAGAAAGGAAACTAAAACAAGTGAAATTGAATTCTAACTGTATGTATGTGGAGGTAGTTAAAGAACAGGAGATCGAGAAAGTTGATGTCGGCAGTCAAGGAGCCCACGAGGATTGGTGTATAAGATAACAGATTAAAGACAGGGCTATGTATGGTGGTAAATCTACGGTGGATGATGATCAGCAACGGTCGATCTAAGGAAAATACCCAATCAAGCTTGAGAACTAAACTCGAACGAAGTTGATGATGATGACGATGACGATGGATTGATGAAATTTAGTAAAATGTGATGATGGATTGGATGAAAGTGAAAGATGATCTCAAAGTCTTGTTAGAGTGATTGTGTAGTAAGATTTTCTTAAAAACCAAGTTAAAGAACCATGAAGATGATGGATTATAAAGGAATCGATGAGTTTACAATAAAAATGAAAATCAAATCGGATCGTCGTTGAGAGATATTTTTATGAATCAAATCTGATGGGGAAACCAATTGAAGGATCTCAACTCCACCTCCAACTTTAAAGAATTCAGCTGATTTTTTCAACTTTGCCCACTTACCTCAAACAAATCTGAAGAAGATTCAAAGTGATACAGATCATTGGTCCCACAATCAGTGATTTGTTTGTGATTCATGTGTTAAAAGATATCTTACATTGATAGTTTTAGGATGGTATTCAAATTGAATACTGACAATTTCACCTATTTCGCTCTGACCGAAGACGAGTTTGGTAGAGAAGACAAGCGTTTGATGAGTTTACAACTTGAGGCTGTTACCAACGAGGAGCTTCGATTTGAAGAAGATGATAATGATTAAAGTCCAGTGCGTGTGTCAGATAACGAAACTCGTCTGAATCTCAGTTGAAGGGTTAAAGTGAAGTGTGGTGAAGTGTGGTGATACGTAGATTTGTATGAGTTAGTCGAAGGAGATGATGATGATGAAGTGATGTTTGATTGAAGATTGAAATTGTATCTATGAGAATGTCTGTAAGCTTGATTACCTTCAAGTTTGGTCACTATTCTATCAAACGGAGCTTGAGAGGTAAAGCAGAGATATCTATCAATTTCTATTGAGATTAGATGGGTATGATCGTTTACTGATTCTAAAGGAGTTTTCAGTTCTATCGTATCATCAATCCAATCCAACTTTGCAAAATAAGAGAATTGGAGTGGTTCTTTCGTAGATGAGTCTGTTTAAATCAATCGATTCAAGATCAGAATAGTCACTGAAGAGGACAAATGAAAAAGACGAGAGGACCACTTTAATGGAAATCCAATTGACAAAAAACACAACTCAGATACAACAAACACAATGAAATCAATCTCCTTGACCGGATTAAAGGATCACGAGTCATGAATGATGATGAAGCTTTGTTATTTATTTGGATTTAGCTTTTGTTTACCCTTTGGTTTACAAAGAATTGTGGAATCAGCTAAAAAAAACATATTGTAACTCCAAAAGCCTTCTGAACTTCAAAATTGGATTTAAAAGACACAAACAAATATCCACATCGACTATTAGAGAAAGCCTACCCTGATATCAATTCGGTAGTCAAAAACCAATGGAATATAAGAAACAATAGATGATGACAAAATCGTATCCTATCCAATTGAATTGAATAGAAGAACTAGACCAATGAAAGATATTTGACCTAAAAGAATAAAGAGAAAAGTGGGAATGGCTTTTAATAGTGTTTTTAGATAATTTTCTTTGTTTACATCTTCAAAACCAAACAAACCACTCTTTCGCTCAGTCAGACACACCAAATCGGGTATGAATGCGATCAAGAAGCTTGATCGGTCATTCATCTTTGAGAAATCCTACACATTTGTCTCTAAAGGCTCTAACTCATTTGCATCGTCATCCAAAAAAAAACAGATTATGTTAAGTGTGTCTTGATTCCTTTCAGAAAGCACATGGCTATGTATCTTATAGGGCTATCTATCTAGGGGCATGAATTAGAAAACCCAAGTTCAAACACACAATGTAAAGTCTTGAAAACCACAAATCAAACCATCCAAATCACTTATTGATCTCCTTACAAACTTCAACTTTTCTCTCTCATATAATCTTGTTTTCCTATACCTTTTACTATTCTCTCAACTTTTTCCTTCCAATCTTCCATCATTCAAAACTATATGTTGTAAGAAATCTTTGGCTTATATAGAACACCATCAATGAAAAATCTCTCGTATTGAAAAAAAACACAAAGTGTTCTAATTCGAATCTTTGGGTAAATCCTTCCTACTCCCGGGTTGTAATCAATTAATGATACCCAACACTTGATAAAAACAACTTACTGTGTGTGTTCAAACTTCACAAGAAAGTATGGCAGTGAATCCAGAAATGAGAAACACTTCAAGTGATTCACTCTCCTGTGTTATAATTTTAAAAGACACCTTAAATGCTAGACCTTTTGACTTGAAATTGAATTACAAGTCAAGATCAAATCCTCATCACCTTCTTTGTCATCTACAAAGAAGAATTTCCAATCGTTCATCAAAACTTCATCAAACATAAACCTCAATGCTCATGTTTCTCTAAAACCAAATCTCTTCTGAAAAGAAGCATCAAGTCATGATCAATGTAAACTGATCAAACCAGTGAATTGAACCTCTCTATAGAAACATTGAATCAGATAAACCAACTTATATCATTCCAAATCTTTCATCCTCTCAATCTACTCTCTCCTTTTCCATGTATCTTGCAATATGATTTATAACCCAATGATAAATTTGCAAATCATGGATTTCTACTCATTAACTCTTACACATTTCTAAAAACGGTTGAATTTCATGTAACCCAAGACGTCAACGAAACTTCATATCTAATAATCTACAAACCGCGTTTTTCCAACCTCGTTTTCATGTTTCTAATATACCTCTTTAACAAATATCACTGATAATCAAATCATTCTAAAACATATCTTTATCATATCAATACATTATCACATCATCAAAGAATCTTTATGAAACCATTCTCACTTACGTAATCTCTTCAATATAAGACCATTTGTTCATTTCTTTTGAAGTTTTATCCTTCAAGTCCAGCTTGCATATGATCTACCGAATCCGCACCCAAGTATCCCATCAATCCTCACCCACAAACTCTTTACCAAAAAAAAGAAAAAAACCTCACCATTATATCTCCCACCTTTAATCTCAGCTTCATCCACAACCTTTCGAACCATTGAAAGTTCATCACCACTCAACTTAACATGTATCGATTCAATCGATTCTTGAACTCCTTCTGGTCTTCTAGATCCTGGAATCGGTATAATTAACTTTGATTGGTTCAGGATCCAACTTATACATAGTTGAGTGATTGTACATGGTTTGGAATCTGAGATGAGTTTTAGTTTTTCTACAATCTTTTATTAAACAGACACACATAATTTGGATTAGTTCATTATCTTTTGATTTTTTCTGGCGGAGGATGGTATGATTTACTTTTAGGTTTTGAGCAAAGTTTTCGGGTTTGAACCTGTCTAGATCATGACGTATGTCTCCTTTTGGAATATCTGAAGGTGATCTTAATGTTCCTGTTAACATTCCTCGACCTAATGGACTATACATATAAAAGAAAACACCAACTGATCAATTTAACCATTATTATAAAGTAAGAGTACAATGAAAAGATAAGATGCAAACCTATATGCGATGATCGGAATTCCAAGTCTTTCACAGGTTTCTAGTACTCCATTCTTTTCGATATCTAATGACCACTAAAGACCCAAAACCCAACCAAGCAAAACTTATGAATAAATCTTTCTATTATGAAAAATTAATGAAAACTATTCTTTTTTTTTGGGAAACCAAAATGATTTCTTTCTTACAGGAGAATATTCGATTTCAACAGCCGAAATCGGATGAACTTTATGAGCTCTTTCAATAGTTAAAGCCGAAACTTCTGAAAGACCAATATGAGAAAAGCATCCTTCAAATTTCAAAGTTTTTAAAGTCTCCATCACTTTTTCAATCTCGATATTTTTATCTACTCTTGCCATCTAAACCCCCCCCCCCCAAAAAAAAAAAAAAAAAAAGAAACCAAAGAAAACCCATCAACTTTCTTCAGTGGATTGGGAGAAGGGGAAAGTGACTTAACTTGAAACAAATCCATCTTTTTCTTTCCTCCTAATTTTTCATTAATAATTTTCACAGAGCGTCTTAAATGATCCTCACTTCCATTGACTCCAATAATTCTTCCTTCTTTTAAAATAGCTGCACCTTTAACACTTAAAAAACATTTTCCTTCTTTAAGATATTCAGGAAACTTATCAAAGAATCTCGAAAGTAATTGTAAGTTGGAGTATGTTCGATCTGGTCCTGTTCCATAAAACTCTCCGGCGTTTAGGAATCGGTTACCGCTGGTTAGGAATGTTTGGATGGATTTGAAGGCTTGGGCGTCGGGTGTTTCTTCTGGTGTCCATGTTAGATTCTAAGATAAAAATCAAGATCAGTTTGATTTTGAGGAGAGGAGAAGAGAATTGATGGGATAGAATGAGTTGATTGGTACCATTAGTCCGTATCCTATTGGACCCACTGGAACCAAATTATCAGGTCCGTAACCAACATATCTCATTTCATCTGACATCTTCAAGTGAAGAAGTTATAACTAGACTTCCTTTGACGCTTATGTATGTTATACTGGAGTAGGAAGTTGAGAACTAGAAATTCGATTAGAATCTTTCTTCCAGCAGATTGGTTTCTTTTCTTATCAGATCGTGATCATTCAAGAGATCTATCGACATCCGGGCCGGCATAAAACCGGGCCTCAACTCACTGTCACAGCACGAATGACGTCATCATTTTGTGCATCATGATTCCCTTTACCTTTCAAGTTTGAAAAGAAGATCTCTCTTAGAGTTTAGAAGATTTCTTTTCAAACAAACTAGCATTCGATTTTGATTTCAACCACAAAAAAAGGAAACCCTCATACAAAAACAACAAACACACACAAAAAACACAACAACAACAAATACCCATATTAAGAAAACCAATCCAGAAACAATCAAAAGGAAAAAAACAAACCAATTTTGTATCTTCACTGTCATACTAGAAATCAACAACCAAATTATTTATATCTCAAATAAATAAAACACATTAAAGAAAAAAACAAACGAGTTTGAAAGGAAAAGAAAAGCAAAAACACAAGAGTCGACTACTCGGTTTACTTAAAACAACAGTTTGTTGATTTGTTCGTTATCTGAACAAATCAAAGAATTTCTTATAAAAAATCACACATAAACAAAAAGAAAAAGAAAAAGAAAAAGAAAAAGAAAAAGAAAGAAAAGAAGTAAGAAACAAAAAGTAGGAAATCAAGTTAATTTGACGAATTCCAAGCATTCAATTTAAATTTTTAAAGCTTTGATTGTAAAGACCATCATTTTTTTTGAAAAGGTGTGTGTCATATTCTTCAAGAATAAAAAAAGGATTTGTTTTTTTTGAAAAAAAAAACGAAAGAAAAGAATCGATTAGAGATGATCAACAAGAAAAGTCAATTTCATAGTCAAACGAAGAAAAAAAGTTGAATGAATGAGAATTGGATGAGAATTGAATTGAATTTTTCAGAAGAAAAAAAAATAAGAAAATGATGATTCTTTTGACCTCCTTTTAATATCAAACAAAAGATTTCTTCTTTTTGATTTTACAAAACAATCGGTTCATATTGAGAATGATCAAACTGAAGTTGATCATGATGATCCTGTAAGTGACCCAAGCTTTGATCGACTTTCAAATGATGATCGTCATGATGAAGAAGATGATGATGAAGAGGAAGAAGTAAATGAGGATCAGAAGTAGAAGAAGACAAATTAATCTTTTCCATTTCTTTCATCAATTCGACTTGTTGATCATGACTCATGAGTTTAGTAAACCTTTCTCTTCTAATCAATCTTTCGGTTCGAAAACTTTCATACTAAAAAACCCAAACCAAAAAAACACGAAAAAACATTAAAAAAATTTCTTCTCATGTTGGATATCAAGTGTAGGGAAACGAATTGGAGAAAGTGACTTACTTTTTCTAATCGAGTCGATTCTTTTAGTTTACTAAAATGCGTTCCAAATAAGACAGCTCTAAGTAAAACGAGTTCACAATGCAAAGGGTCCAAGACATTAAGAGTACCCCATCTAAACTGTCTAGAAAGATTCGGACCACTAAACCGGTTAGGATCAATGGAATGAAGATGAGGATCAATGGGATTAAGTTTGTTTAAACCCATCAATTCTTCATTTGATAAGACATGAAGACTTTCAGGATTGATTAATGATAAGGGAATCAAGTTAAACAAAGCTTCTTCTGATCTTGATAAAGTTAGTGTACATTGGATTCGTTTGTGATGTGAAAGACTTGCGGTTACTGAAAGTGATTTACGTCTAGTTTTTAATGGATTGGCTGTGGCTTCTGGGTTTTGACTATCTGATGAACTTATAGATGATGAGGTGGTGATGGCTTCGGGTTCATCGGATCCTTCGGAATCATCAGTTTCTTCGCTCGATCCGGTAAACAGACTTAGGTCTAAACCTGATTGTTTCATTTCGGTTCGTAGCCATGTTCTGATATTGGTTAATTGTTGAATGGTTAATTCGTCTGATCTTCCAATTACCTATCAATCAAATTCAAATTCAATTTTATAATTCAAATCCATTTTGGAGAAAAACACTTGGTTTGTTTGGAAATACACTTACAGGTAACACATTCGATCGTTTTCCAATCCGTTTCATGGCTCTTAATTCCATCTTAGACATTGAGATTCTTGATGATTGATAAAGATTAGGTGTGTCTGATTGGGATGCTCTTTGGGCTGATTCGATGATCGTTGGGTTTAGAAAATAAAGACAACAATGGACATGTGAATCGGTGAATCTGATCGGTTCTCTTTTCACTTGTTGTTCATGATTTAATGTATGTTCAAATTTAGATTCGAGACCTGGAAGAAAAAAGAGAAATTAGATTGGAAGTGAAGTTGGTTTGGATTGATGTTTAGAAACTTACATCGGAGGATCTCGTTGACTTGATGTTCTACTTTTAATTCATCTGTATCATGAAAGAAAGATCATCAGTTTTTGCAGAATTTTCAGTTTTTGAAGATTTCACATACCATTTGAAAGAAGATCAAGTGAAGGCGTATCAATGATTGTCAAAGCGATTCGATCACCATTCAAACCCGGAACCGTACCAATCGAATGATGTTGAATACCTCCATGAGTAGTAGTAGTAGTGACTGAATCTAAACTGATACCAAAAGTAGCCAAGATAGTTTTAAGAAAAGAAGTTTTACCGGTTTCGATTGAACCTACTAAGATTAAATTGAAAGTAGGAATCTGTCTAGATTTTCTTGGAATCAATCTGTTTGGACTTTTTAATGATGGATGTTGTTGAGATTGAATTGAATAAGATTGTAGGTTTGGCATGGGAGGTAAGGGAGGTGGAGGAAGTTGTTTTCGATGGATTGATGATGATCTGGGAGGTAGTGGATGATGAGAATCTGAGTAAAGAGAAGTTCGATGGTTAGTTGAATTTGAAGATCGATGGTTGATTGAAGTTGAATTTCGATTGATTGAATTTGAATGATTTAGGGATTGATGATGGTTGATTGAGTTGATGGATTGAGAAGAAGGAATAGATTGATGGGTTGTTGGTGGTGATTTTTGTAGTTTACCGACCTGCGGTTTTGATGAGTTGTTATTGTTGATTGAATGATTTGAAGAAGATTGTAAGATTGAACGTTTCTTGACGAGTGATGAAAAGACAGTCATCTTGAAGAATAGCTAGTTCTAGTTCTAGTTCTAGTTCTAGTTCTAGTTCTAGTTCTAGTTCTAGTTCTAGTTCTAGTTCTAGTTCTAGTTCTAGTAAGTAGTTTGATGATAAGAATTCTGGTTGAATGCGATGAAATACAAAAATTCAAAAACAATTCTTACTAAAAAGGGCAAATCAGGAAATCAATCACATCATTCTCATCAGAATCAGAATCAAAATCAAAATCGCAGTCAAGGTGATTTATACTTCATCAAACTTTAATTTCAACTCAGATCCATAGCCATAGTGATAGCTACATATCTTTCACTTCATCTCCTATATCAATAAACTCACTCCTATCTACCAACTACCTAGAGAATACAAATCACAAATTCAAATTCAAATCACTAATCAATCCAATCAATCATCAAATTCATCCTCACCCATTCAAAGGTCTCATCTACCCGAGTACAATACAAAGTCATCAATTCTACTTCATCACCCCTCACTTCAAGTTCAACATTTGGTCTACCGAGAAATCACAAATGTTCATCGGATTTGGAATGTATACTCTTAGTCTGATCACAAAGAAGAAGAGGTAAACTATGCATATCAATCTGTAGATCATCTTCAAAACATTCGATTTAAGGATACATGTATAGCCGAGCGATTTATTTATCATCCATCACATCAAATCACATCACATTTGGATTCATCAGTTTATCAGGACCCTGGAATACCCCTGCAGATGGTACTGACGAAAAAGGTCGGATTTCGACTGATTTTTGTCAGTAGGGTACTGACGAAAAAGGTCGGATTTTGGGAATTTTCCAAGCAGGATACTTACCAAAAAGGTCGGATTTTGGGGTTCCGACTTGCCAAGGTGTCAAGTGGTGATAGTACAGACTAGTACAGAGCCGAGCAGGCAAGCCAGCTCGAGCTAGCTCGAGCCTTGATCTGGCTCGACAGTACTTATGTATTCGACAGTAGCTGGCCTGGCACTGATGGTTGTCAAAGCTGTCATTTCTCAGCAGTTCTCTTTTCAAATTTGAAATTGTACGATTTTAGACTACGAATTGTACTTAGGTTGTAGTCAATAGTTCCTATTCATGTATAAGACTATATTCCTGTTGGTTCCCCTTGAACTTGTCTTGCTTCGTTTTTCTTCAGATTATCGTTTTTGCTCTCGTATCTATCCTCAAAAATGGTCAAACGAACTTTAGATTCAGCAGCAGGAACATCTCGTGATACACTTGAAGTCATTGTCATAGAAGACGGATCAGACAAGGATGAATGTGAAAAGGATGAATCCGATAAGAATGAAAAAATTATTGTTATTGAAGATGAATCCAAAAACAATGAAGAAATTATCATTATCGAAGATGAATCTAAAAAGGATGAAACCAAAAAACAAACCAAGAAGGGCTGCGGTAAGACGCCTCAAAAGGATGTCATCAAATCCTGTCCCTTGTCTAAGCCAAATGCTCCTTGTACTCTTTGCAAGACAAATGACACTGTTTCACAAAAGACACTCTATTGTCATTGTGGAAGCAAGATTGTGTTGAGAAAGGGGCGTGTGGAAGCTGCTGTAGACCACTGGGCCAACGGTATGTCTTCCTGTTTTTCGAGCAAGTGAGAATTCAAATGTAAACTGATGTGTGTGTTTTCTACCTCCCAGACAAATGTAAGAAGAAGACGAACACGATTTGTGCCAATGCCAGCCTCACATCTTGGGTGACTACGACAACAGTTAAAAAGAATGCTGTAACGAAGCCCTGTGCTGGTCTAAACGATGATACCTGGAAACGACCCACCGCCAAGCTTCGTATTGAGAACTGTATCAAGCACTCACCTACGCCTTACCACGGGGTGAAGCGATGGAAAGTTTGTTTCCAGCTTTTCAAAACTACTCATGAAGTCTCGCTATCGGACGAGCAGCGCAAACAATTCCACGCCGCTCTAGAGTCCCAGGCAACCTGGATCATCAAGCGACATGGGGCTCAGGAATCAATACACTCTCCTAGATGTACTCGAACAGTAATGACCACTGCCAAAACTTTGTATCCTCTCTGTGACGACTGCGAGGGTTTGAAACACGATCGAAGCCTGATCACAGCCATCAATGTACCATACGCGACTGAAGATAAAATCAAGTTTATTGCAAAGGTATTCATGACAGGTGATCAATTCCAAGCAGTTCTAATGAAACATGCTGAGCTACAAGTCCTTCAGACATCATTGGAGAAAACATCTAAAAAAGGCGATGAAGAATTCTGGAAAGCAATTGGTGTGTATGGAAAAGCTGGGTTGTTCAAGGATAAAGAGGTCATCCGTGGTCTAATGATGGCAGTTGGTGTGCGAGCTGAACGTGAATCAAACGGAAAGTCAATGCGTGGTCGTCGATTTGATTTTTACTTCGACAACTTCCTCACCACCTTGGCAGCCATCAGTCCTCGAGCTCTTAGGCTTTTCAACGACAACTTTGCAGGCCGTGGGGCACGTAGCATGCGACAAATCCGAAAAGTCCAGGGTATGCATCTTGAAGATGGCCTACACGCAAACAACTTCAAGAGACTTGCTACTATCTTAGCTGAGCTTGAGTATTCCGGCCCAGTTGCTGCTGCAACTGACGAGACAGTTTGTGTAAAGGCAATGCGGCATTACAATGGCTACTTGGTAGGAGCACAAGGCGGTGATATCCCCTTCGAAAATGGTGATGAAATCGAGCGCTTGGTGAAGTCAGCAGTCACCAATAATCAACTTTGTTCCAAAGTTTGTACAACACCTTCCTTATGTTTCCTTTACTATTTCTTTTCGAGTAAACTTACACACTTTCAATTGTGATCAGATCCGAGCTTATACAATTCAGATACCCTTACCAAATATGTCAACATATGTAGTTGCGATAATAGCCAGTCGCAGCCAGGATAAAGCCAAAGACCTGGCTGCTCAGAATCTCGATTTCATTGAAAAATGTCAAGAAGCTGGCATTCACCTTCTCTCACTCGGCTCGGACGGGGCAGCTACAGAGTTGGCAGCTCAAGAGCAACTCATTGATTCTAGAACACGCTATCTTACGTATACAAATGAAGCACTAGAGGTGTATATCAAAGTCCCTCTTTTTGGCCAAGAAGCCAGGCCGATTGTAATGATACAAGATCCGAAACACGCTCGGAAGACGGCAGCCAATCAACCACTTTCAGGTGCTCGCGTGATATCTTTGGGTCGATTCCATGTTGACATTCAACAGTTGGCTGTTTTACTTGAAGAGTCAGCTAGTCCGCTTTACAAGCGTGATGTATTTGATAGTGACCGACAGGACGATGGTCGTGCATATCGCATGTTCTCTGCCAAAACACTCAAAGCTGCTCTTAACCGTGAAGAGTGTACCGGACTTGCAGTGTATCTCTTTGTCTTCGGAGAGATGGTAGACGCCTGGCTCAATCAAAGCATAGGACATCGGCAACGTGTTCGTTCAAGCTGGACCGCCGAGTTCTTTCTTCGTATTTGGAGAAACTACCTCATCAGACGACAAGACGAACCAGACTCACTGATGAGTCTATCAGCAAATTGCATCTCTCCCCAAAGCTTGAAAATATTTTCAACCATGGCCAGTCGCTTACTTGGCCTCATCATTTCGCATCGAAAATACTACCCTGATGTGCCTCTAATGCCCTGGAAACACGGAACCGAGCCAATTGAACATGTATTTGGATGGATGCGTGTGTTATCGCCAAACTTTACTGTTCTCGATGCTAGACAGATGGTGCCAAAGATCCACGCAGTGGTCAAAAGTGTCATGAGTGGAATAGTGAAGATATCGAAATCAGAACACTTACATGCTGGTAAGACTCTCTTTAAATTCCAATTAAAAACCATTACTAATCACATTTCAATTACAGGATACGAATTTGCTTTCTCAGACGAACCCAATTCAGAGCACATTGATCGGCTCCGTTACTTTCCAACTGATGAAGAGATTGAATACGACTTGAATGTTGCCAAGAAGCGAGCCATAAGTTTGGCTGCTTTTGTTGGAATGCACGATGCTTCGATTGTTGATACTCCTATTGTGATCTCTGAAAACCAAGTTTCAGAAGGTAAGTCTAGGTCTATCACGTGCGAAGAACTTCTTTATTCACTTTCTGACGTACACCATCTTCTAGATGTCTCAACTTGCATGGCTGAAAAGTACGATGTTGTGTATAAAAATGGTCCAGAAGACCCTCTTGAAGAAGCTGTGACCACAGCAGCAGAGGCTATAGATGAACAACAGCAGACTGATGTGCTACTGTCTGCCATACCGGAAGATATTGATGAAGTAATATTCAAAAATGTAGCCATGTCTTTGTCAACAATCCTAAATCCGAATGAGGGCGGCTCATCTGAAGCCCGTAGCGAAGGTACCTTGAGCGACTTAGCTGGAATTGATCACAAACTCGACACATTGATCTTGAACAATCAAGAGGGCATCAATCTGGAAAAGTCCAAATTACTGCAGCTACGAGTTGCCCACGACAGTCAGGTCCAAAGGCATCGGGGAAACGAGCGGGCAAAGATCAATGTAGACGACTTACGCAAGTCACCAGGAGAGCTTTTGAAGCCCAGCGAGTGTAGCAAGCTTGTTGCTGTTGTAATGAAGAACGCTGAAGCTACGCCTACCGGTCTTTCACGAATCCATCGATGGAGCATCAATGTGAAGCTGAATCTTCTGCAGCGTTTTCAAAACACCTCAACTCATCTCGACTCCTCCTCTCATGCCGATCTCACAGGCGGTGGAATCACTGCCCACAATCCAATTGAAATGGGAAAGTTTGTAGTGTTGATCAAGAACGGCGTAAGCACCACCTAATTTGCCCAATTGAACTCGTTTGAATGACTTTACTGACATTAAGCGTGGCTGGTATGTAGAAACTATACCTCGGAAAAACTCTAGCGGTATACATCTATAAGAATAAGAAGCACGCTTGGGTCAAAAGTTCCAAGACTCGAAATGAACTTTCATATGTTTCAGTTCAGATCCTCTTGCACAACCCACATCAACCTGTGGCCACAGTAGCTGACATATTGACTCCCGATGTGTGGACTTTTGCTCGCATAGAAGCATCTCACATAGTATATGTATTCTTACCCTCACGAAGCTCTAACTTTTCTGACTTGGGCGAAGGTTCTTACTCTGTACCTGCTATTCTACGCCGCTTTATTATTTCTATTGATACCCCGAACTTTATCAGAGCATTTGAAGCCCAGTTAAAAACTTTGAAAAGCGCTCAAGCACATGACTTAGACGATTGATAGTGATCAATAGCAACAACAAATGTAATTTCCTATTTCTCAATGATCGTGTTTATCTTTTGTGATACACTATCCATCAATTCCTCTCGATGTTTTTGGTCAAACAGCCCTGTCATCACTTTGAAATACATTCCCATATGGCTTCGTTGACCCCTCTTTGTGCTACTTGTCAAACGGTACCAGATCTCTGCCAAAAAAAAAGGGTACTTACGAAAAAGGTCGGATTTGGAGATTTTTGAAAAAACTTACCACGAAAAGGTCGGATTTTTGGTAAGTACCCTCTGTAGGGGTATTCCAGGGTCCTAGTTTATCACCGAAATATGTGCATACAGCTAGATATTCTAATTCGAATGCTTTGCACCAAATCAATATGCACACTTACAAATATCATCGGTACATCTAAGCTAAGAGGAACTTAGTTAGCTTAAGTAAGCACATCATCATCTTTTGGGATCTCCCTTTCTTGATCCAGGGATGAGTCCCCTCTCAAGGGTCAAGCTTCCCCTTTTAGTTGTGGAAGACAACACTGTGTGAATAGATGTTCCAAACAAAACATATTAGTGGGGTTGAAGTCAAAAATCCAGAGCAGGAAATATGTGTGTAGATCATGACTTCCGAACAAACTTTTGAAACACAAGTTGAGCTAAAGAATTGCAAGGAGTTATGGTACACCACGGGGTCACTTTTTGTTGGAAAATACCAGGGAAAAGACAAGTCATGGGCCGCCGGACGGTCTATCTAACGGTAGTCAGGCAATCTTGCCTTTTGACCGCCGTTCAACACCAAGCGGGTCTTGACATACGATGGTAATCCATGCCCGCCAAATGACGGTAGAAGAAAACAAGCTCTGAGAAAAAGGTACACAAGCTTAAAAAATTGTATATCTGCTCATGTTATAAATTCAATGATAGAGAAAGACAAAAAAGATAACCCTTATGTAAGAACCAAAAAACAATAATATTGTACACATTCTCTTGACACAAAAAAAGACATGCTTTTTTTCCTATCTTGAACCAAGAAAAGAATTTCAACCTTTTTGAAATTGTAATGGTATTCTACTATAAAATAGGGAAGTTCAATTTATAGAAAAAATGTCTAAAATACAAATGTCCCTGTATCAAAATACTGCTTTTAATCATTTTTTTAAAAAAAAAACAAAAAGACTTTCCTGAGAAGCACATTTTAGTGTGTGTGTGTGTTTTTGTAAAAAGAAAACGAGATTTGAAGGAATGGGAGGCAAAAGGACAAACAATGTTAGACACTTTTTGGTCAACTTTGACTCCCCTAATCTTAAAGCTGGTTCATGAGACTCTGAAGCCATACTGACCTGGTGCAAAAACTGGAGATCTCAAGGTTATTTCAAGTTTAAACCGGGAAAAAAACAACTGGATTTCTAGTTTTTGTATCCCTTAAATGTATAAATGTTTACAGTGAATGCTGAAATTGTATTTCTGTACTTGCCAACGTACCATCCAAACTGGAATAAATGGGTAGCATGAGATTTTCTGTTGATTTTCTTTAGTGGAAACTTACCAAAAAAACTGGAATCGTTCAAGGCCAAAGTTTCAGTCCTTACCAATTTATAGGGTACAAAGTACTAGGCAGAAAGTCACCCATTGGAAATTCAACCCTTGCCTACATTATCCTCATCTGGGTACAGATTACTACTTCCTGCTTCCCTGGTTGGGCTCCACATGCCGCTACCAAGCAATCATTGCTGCAGCACTCCTTAACACAAAACACACTGTAGTCTGTCACACACTCTGAGAGTACATTGCATTTCAATCATGTACATCAATCACCAGAAAGCCACCATACATGTGAGGGACTGTATTGACTGTGCAGCAAAGCTGCCCCACCAATACCTATGATGATTTCCAAGCTCCTTCTTCCTCTAAAAAAATTATAAACTGGGCTAGCCTCTTGTCCAATTTGTCATGAGGTAAACAAACCATATGTTCAGTCCTATTCCAAATGAAACCTAGAAATTTTGTTCTTCACTAAAGTCATGATTACTTATTGTATTTGTCTTGACTCTAAGGCTATTGCTCAACATTTTCACCTCTGCTAGTGTAACTGTGTCCTCAGGTCTTTTCAAGAGTAAGTTATCATCTACCCACCTAAAGCTTTTTGGGATTTTTGGAAGTTTTGTCATAAGAAATTTACATGTCTTGGATGGTCCCCCAAATAACCCACAACTCGCTACTCCCCCAAATTCAACAGCCAGGTCTATCCACACCCTTCCCTCAAAATCCAAAATACACAAAAAAAGGCCTTTGTGATGGATGATTTCCTAACTGACCATACACTTTCTCACAGTCAAACATCACCACCAACCATCTACCTGGATTCCTCCTAAAGAATCTTGCCACTCCATTGAAATCATCCCAGTTTGTTTCATGATTTTTCTTTTCTACAAAAGAGTTGTCAAATGTAACCAATTTCTGATTTTTTGGATGCTCTAAAGGTTGTTGATTAATCAATCTGACCCATTGCCATTAATGGCACTCCCCATGGGATTGGTCTTGCATTGAAGCCAATTTTTTCATATACTGGTTCCTTTGTAAATGTACCAATGATGTTTCCTGTCTTTGATTCCTTTGCTAACATATTCTTGATCTGGTCCATTGCCTCTCTTGCCAACTCATAATTCAGTGGTGGGATTCCAAAACGAAACCATCAACAAATCCACCTACCATATACAGAATGTCTTCTTCTAATCCTACCTCTTTCATGAGGACTTCCCACTCTTTCCCACTCATTTCACACTTGACTCCCACACTGGTCACTTTTTGCTTGTTGGTACTGTGAATATCTTGTACTGAGTCAGAGGTAAAACAACCTTCTTTTAATCTACTGAACCTTCTGATGACAAGGATTTACTCAATTCTTGTTCTGATTCTGGTTCTGACTCATGATTTTTCTGTTGAACCCCTTCTCTCACTCTCTCTCACCTGACAATTGATTGACTAGAACTTCAGATCTTGCTGGTGTATCTGGGGCTTTCTTTGTCTCAGGAGATGCTCTGGTTGACCTATTGTGGGCAACTACACAGGTTTGGAATTGCACCCAATAAAGAAAGAGGACACCAACATATCCCCAATTTCTCCTATTCAGTTTCCAGTTTGGCTTTAAGGAATCCTTCCCTTCCAATTCTTCTGTTGCACTCTTGTTGTAAAAAATCTGCTCTACACAACCCACCAGCTCTGCTCTGATCTGGAAATGGGAGCCATACTTTGGCTGGCCTTGTACATACGGGTTCCTATCTGCACCATACTTCTTATCTCCAGCCAAATCAATCTCCCATCTTGCCATCTGATGAAAAAAACCCATCCAATATACATCCATTGTGAAGTACAATATGCTGCATTTGTGGTACTTTATGCACCAATCCATCCCACAAGCCTGATCTAGGGCATAGAGCTTCATTGAAATGGGCTACAAATTACTCCTGTGAGAAGCTATGACCCACTATATATCAACTGTATGATGATCCTGTGCTTAACCTATTTTTGTGCAGTAAGACTTAGTGAGAGTGGCTTAAGTCATGTTCTCACATTTCTGTACACTTTCTGTGGTGAGAGCATCCCCAGCCATGCCGTAAATTGGTAACATACTGAGGGTTGCACAGATCATTCAGGGAACCATTTGAGGTATGAAATTTGAAGCATGTACAGCTGTGGTTCCCTACAGTTTGGCTTGTAACATAATTTGGGAGCTGTGTTATGGCTCAGATGATTATTGAGGTGCATGATTTGCAGAGCGTCCAATCGTACAGTTGTTTTCAAAAAGGATGAAATCGAGGTCTTTCAAAAATTAAGAGATGGACCGTGCGCCACCTGTGAAAGGTATCCAGCTTACCTGACAGATTGACCATTGTACGGTAATGAATAAGTTGTCCACTTGCTTTAGCTCAATCCTTGGTGGCACAGTGGTCAGAGGGTGTGGTTTGCTACTGGCAGTCCCGTGTTCAACTTGGTTTGCCTCTTTTAATCACCAATATTTTTGTCTTGACTTACGGATAGAGCAAAAACCATTTTATGCCAGCAAACAAGTATAGTGGAGCGATTTCATTGTTTTGTTTTATGATAACAAGAAGATTGAATAATAAAAAATTGTCAAAATGTATGATGACAAAAAGGCAAGCCAGTCCTGCTCAAACCCAAAATGGGAGGAGGCTCAAGAGGTGGTTGGACAAGCGCAATGGGGGCTCTCAACCAACTCCGCCACAGTCATTTTTGGAAGAGCAGTGGTTATGCTTTCAGAATAGCATTTATTTATGCATTTCTGCCACCTTTCACAGGTGGTGCACGGTCCACCTCTCCGTTTTTGAAGCGCCTTGATTTCATCCTTTTTGGAAACAACTGTACAAGTTGGAGTTTATGGGAGAGATGAGGTACAGAAGGTTCTAGGTTGCAAGTGGAAAAAGAACATATTTGGCCTATTTTGACTCGCACATAGAGAATTGCCCAAGCTAAGTATGTGTTTGGGGGTAACAGCTGTGGATGAAAATACCCCAAATCTATGTACGGCACAACCTACAGCACGTGGCTGGGGATGCTCTGACAGGCTTTTGTGGGAAGAAAGCCCGTGCGGGTGTATGTATACTGACATGTATTATACCCAAAAGGTAAGGCCTCTGGGACATGGGCCGCCCATATTTCTTTGCTCCTTCAATTGCTCTCTCTGTCAGGACTCTTCTGTTTGCTGAAGTGAAGGCCTCCTGGACTTTGCTTTTCAACATGTGTGCATGTCTCACAGCCTGTGACACAACCAATGGGTCACATCCACAGTCAGATTTTGTAATGTAAAGCGTTGTTTCTAAGCCCATAGCTTTTGTCTTCAATCTTATATGGAGAAAAATGAATACAAAGAAACGATTCAGCATGGTCTGATAGTACAAAAATTGTAATCAAAAAAGCTGCAATGAAAATCAAACAACAATATATGTTGTCTGGAAAAGCGACAATATCCTTGTGACCGAAAAATAGAATGTGCACCGTCACACAACCATTGTGCTATATCCACAGTCAGGGTTTAAAATGCAGACTTTTCTTTACATGCCCATAGCTTTTGTGTTAGGTTTCATATGACAACATATGGATACGACGATGAATACAAAGAAACATTCAAAGGAAGGTGAAATTCAGCATAGTCCAAGAATTCAGAAATTGTGATCAGAAAAAAGTTGCCAAGAAGATACAATGAAAGTACATTGGAAATACATTGAAAACACATTGAAACTAAATGTTGTCCGCCGACAGGTCAATGTCCTTGTGACCAAAAAACAGAGTGCGTACGACAAGCCGATTGTGAAGTCAGCCCGCAATCTTCAAGTGTAAATTTCAGGAAAGGAAGTCGTTGAGCTTGCATCGAGGTTATCTGCTTGGGTTGTTTTGTCAGCGCTCATCGAGATAGTCTCAAAAATGAACAGTTGGTAAGAGAACTTACTGTTGATAAGTCGAATAGGTGAACCAAAGAATGAGTTATCAAAGAAATCTGTGATGATAAAGGCAACATTATCTAGAGGATCAGGTCCAGGTAATTGAATTTGATTCAGTTTAGATTCATCTAGTCTTGTAGAAGGTGATGCAAGTGTTCCTGAGATTCTGTCTCGAATAACTTTGGTGATATTGAAGATTTCGATATCACGTGAATAATCTTCTCCGGCTTCATTTTTGAATGTATATTGTTGCGAAGTTCTGCCAATACCACTGACAGCTCGACCATCGCCATCTAATAGTAAGTCGCCTTCTGAGGTTTGTTGGGTTACGATTTTAGACTTCGATCCAGCAGGATAAACATGATCCTCTGTACGAGTATAACCATGTGAAAGATGACCGGATATTACAGTTCCGTTTTGGTCAGGTGTAGTTTGGGTCATGGTTAGGTTGAAAGGGTATGAAAATTCATCGTGAAGATGTGTTGCTCCATTATGTACCGATTCAGTCAAACCCTCTGAGGATTGGAGTACATTCTGATCAATAGATACAAGAGGGAAGCATCGGAGTAAAATGTTTTCGAGAAAGGTTCATCATCAGCATTCCAAACTGTTGCTGTTTTTTCCGGGTGGAGCTTAAATTGGACATACCGAAAATTTTCCACTCGCCGCTTGAATTTGGACATTTGAAAACTTGAAATCTTGTGTAACAGATACTGATTGTTGGCCAGTAGTCCCAGTGACAACGGTAGCTTTCAAGCTAAGTTGACGAGAGGCTTCAGTCTTGAACCTTATTCTTCCTTGGGCATCATCAGGGAGTGGTGTAGTTTTGAAATGTGGTGTACTATGGACACTTTCAAGTTTTCCGGTGGTTCGAGCTCCACTGGGATCGAGAGTGATACCAACGGATCCGCTCAAAATCCACTTTGGGTTGGTGGATGTGTTGCCCTGTCCTTGCCCTTCAACGACAATCGTAAAGTTGTGATTCTTGTCATCAGTCAAGAGTGGCACAAAGGGGGTTATGTCCATGGTATATGAAGGCGCATTCAAGGCTCCAATCGCGGCAATCGGTCTTTGAAAATCGTCTTTATCGTCAGTTTTGAACAGCCTAGCCAATTTGATCAAACTCACCTCCACCAACTGAGTAGGATTCCCCCAGTGTAAATTACTGGAAATGGGTAAGCCACACCGGCCAGTTTGCCATCTTGTGGACATTTAGTGAGAGTGATGACTGCGTCAGTTCAAAGCCATTTAGAAGGAAAGATAGGATTTGGAGCAAACCAATCAAAAGCTGGACTTCTCGAAATGAACCAGCCCCAGTGAACGAGCCTGTCTTGTTTGGGTCAAGACGAGGGAGTGCTTCGTCGGGTACATTGTTATACTACAACCACAAGGTATTCAGCAAGAGTTACATTCTCCAATATATCGACATTGCGCAAACTGACCCAAAACTTATGGAGAGAGACAATTTTGGGTGTTAGTGATAATGACTTGTTTGGAAAGAGGTGTTGGTTGTGAACTAACTTCTTCCTGCTCACTCCCACTTGCGAAGATTTCTACAAAAGCGGTAGCCGTGTTCTGTTCGAAAGTACAAGTTAGACAGAGTTGATACCAGATGGGACTGAGATGAGTAAGGTTGGATGATCAATCACCTTTGCGAAATTGAGCTGTTTCTCAATCCGATACCCTTCATCATGACCAACTGTGGAAATCTCCCCCAGCTGTGCCACTGCAGGGAAATCGGTGGTAGGTACGTAAAATCGAGCTGATAAAGTTACCTCATATTGACCGTCTAACTTCAGTTTTGGATCAACGATGTTATTGAGAACCAGGGTAAGTGGACTGCATTTAGCCAAAAGTGGCATGTATCTTGACATATCACGGGTGCTAAATAGAATCATACCGTCAGATATAACAAATGAAACGAGGAGAGGTTTATAATTCGAATCTTACTAACGCGGTCCATATGATTCCTTTCTTGGTGGGCTCAGCTAGTGATCAAAAAAAATCAACCCAAATTCAGCTCGAGTACAGCTTAAGCAAGAATCAAGGTTAGAGTATGATTCAAAAGCTACACTCACGAGTCGAAGATCGCCATACTATCACAATACACAAACAATCAGTTTCAAAATGTATTATGAGTAGAGATGAATTACGGACTTTCAACTTCATCGAGAAATACTTGCTATGTAATTTTACAAAATCCAAAATCAACACTTCAAAATCATCAAAGGAGATGGAAATATTTCAAGAGTTCTATATCAGAACATGGCTCACCACCAATCTATCATATTGCCTGCCCCGAGAAGCTATTAAGGTGTTGATGTCAATCGATCAACTCCATACTTGACGTGGTACCAAATCTTAAGGAACTTACTCGCTGTTAGGTTGAATACTACTGATGCCCAGCTGCCTGCCGGCCCGCAATCGGTGGGCGGAACAAAATTAACGGTCGCTGGTTTACCGTAAGAGCTGGCAAATGTCTGTATATCGACAAATTTTCAAGTTCGGTAAAAGATCTGGGTTGAGGTAGGAAGCATACAAACAATCAAAAAACCTACATGTTCAATCAGTTTTACCTCGCAAAACTTTTTACCCTTGGATGCAACCGGTGGCTAAAAGGTATGAAGTTTTGGAGGGAAAAAAGGTGATCAAATCAGCATTGGTTCTCGACAGGGTGCCATTTGCAATCGAATAGACTTACCGCCATAACTTCAAAGTTCACCAACGCATTTGGGCGGTGTTGGGCCTGACGGGATTTAAGGTGATGAGATGGTATCACTTCACCGATGAAAATATGAACGGCTAAGATGAATAAAAGTAGGGTATCGCAAGTCATGATGTATCGCAGATGTGATGTACGAATGAGAGAAATTGATTTAGGAATATCCAAAAGAAAGTTGCAGGTCGCTCAAGAATTAAATACTAGTTTTAAAAAATTGAGATAATCTGGTGTGAACCATAATTGGAACTCATGAGTCTGAACCGTGAGACTGTTCAGCTTCGATTGTGAAACGATGTGAAACCAAGTCCGCCGCAAGGGAGTGATGCACGAAACTGTGAGTGTGAGATCCTAGTGACACTGACCCCTTTGATTTCTTCGTCTCTCATCGTTAGATTCCTGATTCAGGGCGATTCCCGACTAGGGGGTAATACATAGCCTGAATGTCCAGATTCACCGAGGATGCAGTGGGTAGATGTGCGGCCTTTCGATTTCACTCAGACCGAGCTGTGTTGGTTTGTGCGGTGCTGAGCCTGTTGCGATTTCAGGGAAGCCCGGACAGCTTTGAACCCCTTCTTGGTCTCGAGGGCCACAGAAGAGAGATCTGACAGAAGACGACGAGAGCCAACGAAGAACGAATTCGCAGGCGAGCGGGATCCACGAAGTCAAGTTATGCCAGTGGGTAAACTGGGGCTCGGGTCGCAAGCGACAGCGTGAGACTCTGATGAGGTTCTCGAGCAACTCACAACAGCAAGAGTTTTGACGACTTGTTTGTTTTTGCCCATTATGAGGGTTCCACACCTCATGAAATCTCGCTTCCAGCCGCACACAGCTTCCTTGACCTCTTGTGGGTCTCCCGGTGCCGTTTTCAGATCTTCATTGTGGATAGATTTGGTGCTATTGCAATTCTTGGACACTGTGTTTTTTGGAGACATCTGCACACCTTGGGGTCGTGTATCAAATTAGGTTTTCCAGCTACAACTTTTTACAACTCTTCTGAGTGAGCTCGATGAATACAACAGATGTTAAAAAACACATGAGGACATGCACAAGGTGCAAATGAAGATCCCAGGGGCAGAATAGGTTCTGTGTTAGTGTGATTCAAGCTGAAGCTCACGAGAGGAGTTTTTAGCATGAATCGGGGCATAGAGCCCTAATTGCAATGTAATGGTTAAAACTATACAGAATAGTTAAGTACATGTGCAAAACTCCAAGGCATCAAACAGGTCCGCTATGGGGCGGCCTAAAAAGAATACACAAGGGAGAGGTGGGCGGGACACAAAAAAATAAGTACAGTCAAAACTCCCTAAAGCCATACCATTCTGTGGAATCCAGGGGCTATGGGCTTATAGGGTTTTAGCCTATCTATGGTTTTACTAAAAAAACCCTCTAATACCATAGAAGTATGGCTTTATCAGAAACACCCTCTAATGCCATAGATGTATGGTTCTTTAGAAACAAAAACTCTATCAGGCCATGATAATCATAGATTTAGAGGGCTGAGCAAAGAGAACAATCAATCACAAAAGTGAAGAACAGTAAGGGTGACAGAGGTTTATGAACACACATAGATCTTCAGGTTGAGGGTAGAGGAGAACAGCGGAAGAAGTCGGTGATGGTAGACTGCTGAGCAGTTAACTCTGTGGTAAAGTATGGGTCTAGCGGGGATAAAAACCACATTTTCCCACTATTTTGGTATGGGTTAAGGGGCTAGAGGGGTTAATCCAAATTTTGGCCTGCACCACAAATGTGGAAACCATACCCTATGGCTTTGAGGGGTTTATGGATTTAGCGAGTTATGGATTTGGAGAGTTTTGACTGTATAACTAAAAAGATAGAAGAATATACTGTTCAATCCGTATCGAATATATTTTTTGTGAAGAATTATAAATTGATGAAAATATAAAGTGGGAAGAAGTATAGTACTTCACCAACCAGTCCAATATATAAGGCATCATGAGTTAAGATCATCTAAAAAGGTAAAGAGATTACTCAGTGATTCTTAAGAATGGTAAAGAGCACAGCGTGCAGATCAATTACCAAGAGAATGATCTCTTCCGAGTTCGCCGAAGCTCTTTCACAGATTTTAACACGTGACACCTATTCTCTTCTCTAGAAGCTCGCTCCTAGTCCCGGTAAGTTGGAGGATCCAACCTGGCGGGAGACTATCCAAGAGACTTCAAAAATTGAGAAAAAAAGGCGCTGTGAGGCGTTCGGCTTTGTTTATCTGGCCTTTTACGGTCCTGTACGATGATGTATAGCTCGCAAATCAACACTTCAATCAATTTGTATGTCATTCAACAAAACTCTTTGATGATTGCACCAATCTACACCCATATGAGGATAAAATTGTCACCGTGTGATCACAGTAGCTGATCATAGAGTCTTCTTGCAAAAAAATCATTCACGGGAAAAATGAGAACGATAAATAAAAAAATGAAAAAGAAACACAAAAAGGTACTAATCAAAATCAAGAAGAGAGACGCAATACAAAAACAAACAAGAACAATGATAAAATATACCAGAACAACAATAAGAAATGTCAAAACAACAATAAAAATACAAAAATGAAGATCAAAGATACAGTAACAAGGGTCAAAGATGCACATAGAGATAATCAATGCAAGAACAATGTCAAAAACAGGATAACAGTGATGAAAACATGAGGATAAAAACTTGAAATCGTTGACATAAACATGAGAAAATTGATAAAAAGCAATTGGTTAGGCCTGGTTAGGGGGGTTAGGGGTTTGGGCTTAGGCTTAGGGCTTGAGGAAATATCAAGAATGTGGAGGAATGTGGCAAAGGATGTTATTTCATTTTTGAATGAAAATGCATTTTGATACAGCATTTATTTCCAAAGTCTCTCTGGTAGTCTCTCTTGTAGTCTCCCTCTCTCCCCAGGTTGGATCCTCCACCGTTCCCCCTAGTCCAATGGAAGCAAGACTTGATGAGGTCTAGAATCCTCATAATGAGTGATAAAGCAAAAACTGCCGAAAATCATGATGCTGTGAGTTAAAAAGGGGGACTTCAGCTGTAAGTCCCTCCCTCAACTACTTGAGCGGGTGGGACTCTGATAAATTCAGGATAAAACCAAGTACATATATGTTTTGAGCTGCCCTGCAGAACCAAAATATCACATTTTGGGTCAAAGCTGGGGCACTCAATTTGAATGTTTGGGACTGGAGTCGGGCACACAGATCAAGGAGAATACTTTTATGAATCTGGAAATATGGTATGTACAGTAGTGCCATAAAAGCTACGGTTTTTATTTTTAAATTTGGATTTTGTGAGATTTCAATTTTTGCTGTTGACCCATCTTGTGGTCAAACATGTAATTCATACCTTCTCAAATTTTCAATATGAAGCCCTTAGCATCTGATATCAAAAACCGGATGGTTGGAATGCCCCTAGCAAAGATGAGGAACATTGATATCAGCAATGCCCCTGGGTGTCCAGTCACAACAGTCCAATTTGTCATTGCTAGATTTAAGATCAAAGGTTCAGTTAAGCATCAAAAACCTATGGGTTGACCATCTCTGTTGACCAACCACACACTCTGACATCTTGAACATGATTTCAAAAAAACTCACCAAGCTCTCATGCATGAGTTGGTCCAGGAATTGGGGACAAAAGCTAGTGCTACTACAATCCGCCTGGCTCTGAAAGCACATGGTTACAACTGGAGAGTGGCAATAGTCAAACTGTATTTGAATGCTAAACATTAAGCTGCACGTCTCAAGTTTGCAAAAAATCATGAGGTGTGGAGAGTGGATGATTGGAACCAAGTCATCTGGATGGATGAATCAACCTTTGAGATTGGGAAGCCTTATTGCAAACTTTGGGTTTGGCAAAAAGTGACAGAAAAATATGAAGCATCATGCTTGACACCCTCTTTCAAGTAGGGCCGTAGTTCAGTGATGGTCTGGGGTGGTTTCATTCCTGGACACAAGCTCAAGCTTGTCAAGATGGAGCCTGGTTGTCAAAATTCAGAAAACTTCATTGAGCAAGTGTATGGAAAATCACTCAGCCCTGTTTTACACAACTCTTCCAATGCCAACAATTGATTTTGATGGAGGATGGAGGCCCAGTTGACCACTCCCAACTGTCTTCCAAATGGTGCAAGAAAGAAGGGATAATGAAGTTAAAATGGCCAGCGCAGTCACCCAATCTGAACCCAATCAAAAATCTTTGGTCCATTGTGAAATCCAATATCTCAACCCAACATCCAATCAAGGATCTGGATTCCATGAAGGCCAATGTGTTGGAGTCATGGGAGAGTTTACCTACTGAGAAATTAGAACACCTGGCTGCCTCAAATTCAATGCCCAAGCAAATTCAAGCTGTCATTGCAGCCAAGGGCAGATCCACCCATTGGTGATTGACCAAGTAAATCCATTAGTTAGGGGGAGTTTTGTCACAAGTCTCTCTGAGGTACCCGTTTATTGTGTTTTGGTTCCTCAGTGTTATATGTATGTCCCGGAAACCTTATTACATTACATCCCGTTCTACCCGTATTAGAGTCTGTTTGATTTAAGCTACTGTAAACCATAAGTCCCTGTACGTGGTGTGGGGGGGGGCCTCGAAGGGGGGTGCTTGGTATGGGCAACGAGTAGTTGCCGTACCAGAGTACCGCCCTACGAGGCGAGAACAGGCTGTATAAGAATAGGGGGTTTCTCGACCCCATTTCACTCACAGGGGGAGAGCCGTGAGCTCCGAGAAACCCCCTTTGTACTCTCCTCTTGTGTGTGACCTTGTAGGTTCTGCTTGTTCCCAATCCGTAATATGGTTTTGTGGCGTCGGGTGTTTCCTGTACGCCGATCTTAATTCCTTCATCCACTCCTTGCTTGATACTTCCGCTTCCGATACCTCCTCCTACATCTCCTTATTGTTTCTGGTCCTTCAGGACCTTGATTGTTTTCCTGAGTTCTTTCTGGTCAAACTTCCGCAAATACAGCTGGTAAGCATTTGATTTCCACCTCCCTGCTCGTTTTATTTCCTCGTTGGGCTCGCCTAAGTTCCATTGCAGTGAGGCGCCTCCTATCCGGAAGGAGTGGCCGTATAGTATTTGCTTCCTTTTAGGTCTGTGGGCATTCCATATCACCGTGAATTTCTCG